CTTCATTGAGATTAAGCTTAAAGAGTACATTACCGACCGCATTTTAGTAAGAGAGGGAAATAGAACCTTCGGTACGTATTCTAAACTGTCACTGATCATGCAGACGAAAACCAAAAGTCACCAGCTTCTCTTCATTTCGTTTATGTTTTATTAAAAGTTATGTTTCCATTACGAGAATCGTTCCCAGAATTAAGACATATAATATTCTTTGGAATAGTTGCAGATCGGCTCTAATTACCGTCACAATGCGATTTCACTCAGAAATTTATGTTTCTGACTCACTGCAAGCCCATAGTAACACTAGTTTCAGTTTGTAGGAACATTCTGAAATCTGTTACTAGAGATTTCTTAAACCTCTTATTTTCTTTTCCTTTCAAGCTCAGTTTGAGGTCTGTATGGAATATATATCTGTTTGAATCAATGACACCCAATTTTAATTCACAAAACCAAACACCAAACAATGTGTGGAATAAAAACAACCTTGCTATTTAACTAATATTTTCACAAATACGAAACTCTTGCATGATGATATACATAAAATAATGATAAAATAATACTCAAATATGCTATTTGACAAAAAGGCTGGCTGATAGAAACACTGAACAGATACAAAAACAGCAAACATGAAATACTGGAAAGGTATGGAAGGGTCAAAGAGAAATGTCTTCTAGGAATACAAATGAGGTTTTCTATATATTTGCTAATTAGCGAAGGAATAGAGCAAATGATATAAATTACTAAGTAATCTTTTAGGTACCTATTATGATATCAGGGTACTTTTACTTGCAGTATGGGAAAACTGCACAACAGGAAAAGTCTGCTTTAATGTTAATTAAAATTACTTGTACACAATGATGATGCAAGACTGCATGTCTCTGTACCAGTTTATCATGTTTGTATTTTAGAGGCACATAACCCAATAATGGGCAATGTTTCCTATACACAAGATTGTGTTTGTTAAAGGAGATCGGTTGGCCTTAAATTTGCTGTTCTTTTATTTGCTTTTGCTGTTTTGTGAAGATTAAGAAATTAATTGTGAAAAGTTACATAGGTTGTAGAAAACTATCAGTTCAGCTCTTCCTACGCAGTTGATTTTTAGAAAATTTACTCACAGCTCTTCATTGGAGGGAGGGGGGGGGGGCAACTTAACCCCTTTTTTGTGCTGAGCTTGCTCACAGTGGCATTCTCAAAACCCTTAATACCCCCAGATTCTCTCCCATTTATGATACAACCATTATCCTCATTAACTGTCTATCTCAGAATGTATTAATTTTTTTAAGGAGGAAGTACACTCTGGTAGCACTTGGGAGTGGGAAAATTTGAATAATCTTGTCATTTACATTTTTCATTGGGGTTCAGTGCAGTTGTCTGGCTTGTTCTTGTCCTTTTGTATGGATCTCATGTATTTTATAATCAACCCATTCACTACCAAGATCTCATTGGCAATTCTCCATACATTCTATCATATAACTATTATGGTGCTAGTTTGGAGGATTTAACATTGGATAAACTAATAATCCTCTAATTGGTTTTTTTAATCTCTATTCTTGTAACTTGTCTGCTTGGTATTGTGCATGTAAGGAGAAGTTATTTCTTGGTCACTTCTAGTTCTAGGATTCAACTTCACAAGTTCTAGGATTAACACAAAATACTATTTATAAGTATTGCAATCAGTAGTTCTTACAATCCAACCTGTCAAGTTTAAAACTGAATTTTGGGTACCAAGAAAATGAAAGCTTATAATTTACCCTTTTCCTTTAGTTGGCCAAGATAATTGATTGAAAGTAACATCTTCACCATTGTAAATCCAGGTATCTCTGGCAATGAGGACACAGAAACAGAAGAATTTCCTGCCCCATCATTTGAAGAACAGTTTAAAGACTTGACCTCTCTCATCTCCTTCTTTGAGGAGTGCTCAATCCAAACATGGCAGTTTATTGACAACATGAAAGAGAAGTTCCCTATTAGCTTGAAAACAGATCTTATGACTGACAAAGAAAGGCAGAGTCTACAATCATATCCTTCCAAGAAATCTACTCTTCTTGTTGTTGGACAAACAAATAGTGGAAAAAGTTCCTTTGTGAATGAACTTCTTGGTGGGTCATTCATGCCAACTTCTTGAGTACCATGCACATCTCGCACAGTCCATCTTAAATACAGTGAGAAAAACTGTATCCAGGTTTGTGATACACCTTTCTGTTTGAAACTTTTTAAGAAAGAGAAGCTGATAATTTGATCAAATATCAGCAGTTTTTTTTGAGGGGGGGGGGGGGGAAATAGATTGTAACCCCTTTTTGCCTTCCCCCTCTACTTCTCAGGAGTGGCTTAATTTCATGGCTTAGTTGGTAGTAGTGCACCCACCTGTATCTTAGAGAAACAGGTTCAAATCCTTTCGAAAACCTGAATTCTAAAGAAGGGGGGGGAGGCTGCTGAGCCCTCCAATTTTTGCTAAAGGGAGGGGATGTATAGCCCCATCTGTCTTTCCTCAGGGGATATTTGTAGAGAAACAGGTTCAAATCCTTTAAAAAACCTGAATTTAAAGGAAGGGGTGGGCTGAGCCTTCCAATTTTTGTCAAGGGGAGAGGAAGTATAGCCCCACTACTCTGCCATTTGTCTTTGCTCAAAGGATATTTGTAGGTTTTCCAGTTTTCCTTCTTCCACAAAAACCATTTTCGCACGGGCACCAGTCGTTTCAAGTTAACCTGGCTTACATCATTTTTTTTAATTACAAGGAGTTACAGATATTTAGACAAAGTAGCTTGGCGTATGATTGCAGCAGCAAAGGCCAGTACCCCCCCTCTCGATCAATGGTGTATATGGCAATAACGGAACCTTTTCTTTCGCTGCTCATTTTACTCGTATGCAGTCAATGAATATGAAAAAGTTCTAAGCAGATGACAAGTAATGAAGCTCTGCTTGGAGCCATGTTCATTATGTTTTTTTTCTTTTGAAAAACAGCTTGACTTCCACGGGAATGCAAAGCTGAACGTTTCTAAGCCAAGGGATGACACGATTCCGTATCCTGACAACTAGGCGCCTTTCCATGTTCCTGCTACGAATCCCGTTGCAAGTGCATCTGACCCTGATTCGGTGAACACTCTGCGGGACCATTGTGTCTACAGTCTTGCAGTCTTGCTTTTGCTGTTTGTGGAGGAGACCACCCTATGCCCAGACGTTAAAAGTGGATGAGGTGAATGCTGCCGTAGCCTGAGGAGAAGACTGTGCGTACGTCTCCGGAATGAACGATCCAGAGGGTCGGTCTTCTTGCGAAAGGCAAAAGGCTCGCGAAATTGTCCTTTCCATTTTTGACTTTCAGCAGAAGCATAACGAGTGTCTGCTCTCAAAGATGGACTTCTTTAAATCGAAGGTCACTGAGGTGGTTTCTAGTTACGAAACCACCCACCAATTTGAAACTGCACTCTGAGAAACTCAGCTTTTCTTCTCTGTCAAGGGACTGGACAATTTTTGGATGGAAAAAAAATAGAATTTACGGCTGCCCTCAAGGGAGACCTTAGAATTTCAGTTCCATTTCCACCTACAAAGCAATTTATATAAGCCAAATTTGATAGTAAAAGTTTTTATTACATTGTATAATTCATTAGCATTCGATTCAACTCATGAAAAGACATACGAACGAATCGTGAAAAACTTTCTTGGGTTACAGTTTGAGAGAAGCGATGATTTCTCGCTCATTTTACTTGTGCTTGTTTCGTTTAGCTTTGTTATTTATGTTTTTTGTCTTGCATTTAAAGCAACCATACATGGTGATGGAGTATTTATGTCTTAGATCTACTTTCAAAGCTGTTTTTGGGCACGAAAAATAGTTTCATCTTGCTTTTTTTGATGTAACAAATGTGGTACCAATGATTAGACTCAGCCTGTACAGTATGACCTGTAAAAGACACCGCCTCTTTTTATTTACCTCGACTACCAAGGCATTTTTATAACAGGCAACCGTAACCAGCCCCTCAAAAAAAAACTTTCTAAGAACTACAGGAGTTCGGAGATATGTTAAGCATTGAAACAACTTTATTTCCTATATACTTCGCAGATAGCTGTAGCTCGGTAGAGAACGAGGTTCGATAAGTTTGTTTTTCGATTATAAGCACCTCAACCAAATATTAGGAAGAAGTTTTATTAGCTTTTCTTCTGCTGTGGTAACTTGTTCTATTCAGGGAATGACAGCAGCGTCTTAACTGTGAGCGTTTTTTCGTTCGAGTAGATTACAATAATATTATTAAAACCATATCACGGTACTGTGTAGTGTTGCAAAAACGAAAAAAAAGGAAAAATACAAGAAGGAAAAAACGAAAACAAAACAAATTTAGAAAATAAAAAACAAGGGAAACGAAAAGAAGGTCTGTTGCTGCAGCTGCCGTTTTTTTTTTGGTAGTAATTAGATCTACAGCGTAAATATTTAGTAAAATCAAGCCAAAAATGGTGCTTTTAATCCGATCACCAAGAGGGATATAGCTACAAAGGTGTCTGCCTCATATGTGCGAGAGGGAAAAGAGTAAATTGTTACTTGTTTCCTGTTATTATTTGACGTGTGTATACTTGTTTTAAATAATTCCTCTGTAAGCTTTCCATGGAATAAATAGTCATAACTTACATGCAATCCGGCTATGTTTAGAAAGGGGGTAAGTTTCTAAATTAAAGAAACTGTGGTGCTGTGTCAGTAGGGGTATTACAATATGATTTGGTTTAATGAACTAAGTCAATAATGTAATGTGGCCACCGTAAAGAGTTTCGAAAGCTGACGTTTCGAGCGTCAGCCCTTTATTTTAGAGCTTCCCAGCCGCTCTGATAAAGGGCTAACGCTCGAATCGCCAGCTTAGAAACTCGGCTTTAGGGTGGCCAATCTACATTATCAACTCAGTTGATAAAACCAAATTATTTCGCTCTAATTATAGCCTGAAACGTGTCCTGTAGGTGTTGAGATGAACAAAGTGAGCTGTTTTCCCGTCGACGACACAACGTATATGGCTTATTTCTTCTCGAATACCAAACTGCGTATAGAACCTAAGAGACTGAGAATAAGCTTAATCTCCCTTTGCCGCGCACAAACTATTACAAAAATAACTTTAGCTACAGCGGCGTCACTCTTTGGAACAGACTTCCTCGTAACATGAGACAAGCAGAGTCCCTTGGGTTATTTAAGCGTTTAATTAAAGAAGTACGTTCAGGCACGGCATTCGTGGAAAGCAGCTTTAGTTAGGTTGGTGCTTTAAGTATAGTTTCTATAGTATCTAGTTACATGGTCAATTATACTAACGTGTCCCTGCCCGATTCTTTCGACCCACATTTTTGTGCAAAGAAATATGATCTAAAGCTGAAATTAAACGTTCACTTTTGTCTAGTGTAAGGAATATATTGAGAAAACTTTACCACTTGAAAGGCTAAAAATTTCAAAAATTCGCCTATCTAGATAGAAATTTTGTAATAAAGCCTCTCGATCACTGCATATGAAACTGCATAAAAACTTCAGGATACACCGCCAGAAAAACAAAGACCAGTACTGTGAACTGCCAGGCCAACTAGTAAGAAACCCGTACTATACTGTTTCAGCTCAACCCTCTAGTGGAATTATATCCAGGCAATTTCAATTAGGTGTTACTTCTGTTGAGTTCCGCCTCCTTTTGCCTGCAGCAATTTGTCTATATATTTTTTGTCTATATATTTTTTGTCTCTCTTTCCCACCACCATTCTTCGAAAGTATTTCCAACCTATTCTGAACTTATATGAAATCAAAATGTAAATTAACATCGATTCTTCCAAAAATCTATTAACATTACTCGATAGGGGTATATGGCTATGTCCAGAAATATCAACCCCTCCCCTCACAGATTTGGTGATAGGTGCAGTTTATAAGGAATATGTCTTGCTACATACTTTGGATCCGGTACAGCTAACTCTCTCCTAAGACTTCAAGCATCCTTTTTATATCCCTTTTCTATCTTTTTGATGAGTAATTCCTAAACGTTTTAAACATCTTGCATGGTATGCTCTTATGTAATAAAATTCTGGAACAAGGAATACAATATTTGTTCAACGACGGTCGCTGGGCATCAAAGTGTCTAGGCAAGAATGCCTTATCGGGTTCAATTCACAGATGACGTTTTCCATTTTAATGCTTTCTCTGTTTTTCCAGCACGTCATCATCAAATTCCAGCAGGCATCATTCACCCGTGGCAGTCTTTTCGGAAGGATTCCTTTCTCAACCGCTTCTCGCATTTCCTCAGTAGTTTTCAAGTTTTGGTAAACTTCAGGTCTTGTTGTCCCACTTCCCTCAAAGAGCACCCACAGTAACATTCCAAATGCGTAGATGTCGTACGAATGATAACTGAGGTGGCTTTCTCGGTGATAGTGGTACATTTCTGGTGAGATGTGGAACGGTGAACCAAGAGTGGTCATGTTGTAAGGACTTTCAGGTTTAGCGAGGTTGATCTTGGCTTTTCCATCTTTCATAAGCTAAAGGAAAATAACTGTTGTGAGATTTCCCTTTACAATAGAAGCTTTAGCATCCCGGAATTGGAGCCATGCGTCATAAGGTATACACGTATTCACGTTAATGCAGGGAAATTAGTGTTACTTTATGTTGACTTAATTAAAGAGTGAAGTCTGTAAATGACCCAAGTGGCTCATTAAGCCGGACATTATGTCGGTTTCTGTAGCATGAAGAGACTTGGAGTATTACAGCCCCTCCCCCCTCCCTGGATGGGATGCTAATCCATCGCAAGGTTCCCCACACCCCCCCCCCCCCCCAAAAAAAAAAAAAAAAAAATTTTCATCAGGCTTCCCTGACAATTCGCCAGTACCCTCTTATACTCCTGGCTGAGAAATAATTAACTACATAAAATTCAAATTATGAGTGACAATGTCAGTACATAGATAAAGTTCCATGATTTACTCAGGTAAGCTCTTACTGTATTTATACTGTCTCTTGAGGGGAACACTTTTTTCTTAAATATTTTCCAATGATTTCATTTAAATTCTTGTAATTTCAGAATCTAAAATTTCAGATTTTCTCAGAATTCAGGGGTGGCCAGAAACTATAAAATATATTTTGTTTACATATTCTTGAGACTAAACACGATTCTTAAAACTAAAGAACGACCCATTCGATAGGGTCATCTCACACATTTTGTGAGAAGCCTGTATGGCATATAGGCTGCTGTGATTATTTAAATTTTTCTTACGACTCCAGCTAAGACCATCATTTAAAACCAAATCCTAGATTGCACACATAGGGGACCCTTACCAGAATATTTCCAGGTTTCAGATCCTCGTAGATGTAACCAATATCATGAATGGCCTTCAACCCCTCAGCCACGTCCAAGGCTATGTTGAGCCTTATAATCAGCGACAATCCCTGTTGGAGAGCACGCAGTAGATTCCTTTCTGCTTTCTCCATGACGACGTGTACGGTATCAGGATCTGGGAGAATCCATCCATACAAGCGTAACAGGTTTGGGTGGGAGCCATTGAGCCTCAGATTTATGTCCCTAAAATTAAATAACGCTCATATTTACTCTCATGACTTTGTCAGGGATATGGTAATTCAGATCGTTAAGTCTTAGAAATACAGATATTCTACTATTAGGATTTGTAATAGAGTGAACAGATTGAATCAAGGTCACGAAACTATCAGAGGAGTCGCCCAAACATTGAGATAAATTGAAAGGGGGATCCTCAAAACGTGTTTTTGTTCTTATCAAGCAAATTATGACCAAATCGAAGCTTCTACATCCCCTTGGGCAACCCACAGGCATTTGATTGTCGTCCATGCCGCGGGGTGAGGAGTGTGACCTTACCTGGGTGGGGTGGGGAGCTTTAGCCAGGAGTGTTGATAAAATTTTAACTATGTAGGAGTTAAAAGAAAAGAGTCTGTTTTCACATCGTAGAATGATACTTACAAGCCAAAAACAACAACAAAAACAACAACAACAACAACAACAACAGCACCAAAATAAAAATATACGAGTTTGTTAAATTCTAAAACATTCGTCGATCATACAAAGAATTTTTCAATTAAAAAAATTGTGCTTGAGTAAGCCATTTGAATGCAAATTTGACCCAGAGGGGCGGGAATATAAACGGAATAATCTTCAAAAGCTCAAATACCCGGGTGGTTGCCCGGAGGGGCTGATGAAGCTTAGAATTGATTGACGCATTAATTTATTACAGTTTTTAATGCATTACTTACATCATGTTGACTAAATCCACAGCATTCTGGCTCCAGGCAGCTTCGCTCAAATTTCGCTTTTCAATGACTTTTACCACGCACTGTCCGGTGGGTGAGGAACTACACCAGCTTTCGCTTATGCAGTCATAGATAGCTCCATGTCTCGTTTTGGCCACAAGAGAACCACGCTCAACTGGCCCAAACGTCTGCAAATATTGCAAGGCCATTCCTTCCACAGTCAATTTTCGAATCTGTGGGGTGAATTGGACCCGGAAAGATTCCAGCTGCAACGACACGAAGCTGTTGGTAAAAGCCTCTTGCAAAGAATTGAAAGAAGAAAGGGCATCCTGAAATTTCTCATGCATTTCTAACAGACGGCCTGCACATGCAGCTAGAACTGAATCCACGACACCATTGAAGTCAATCATGGCCAACAGAGTCTCACAAATATTGCACCTGATCGACTTCTTGGAAACATCTACGTCTTGGTAATTCGTCAAGTCTTGTGGCGAAAGAACGCGAGAGAGAGGATCCGAGATTCCAGTTCTCAGAGCAACAGAAGAAACGTCGTTCGTGGAGTCAAGAAGCCCATTCATTACAACTTGGAGTAACTGGTCCGTTTCACTTTTGACGGCCAGGAATTGAAAGTCATAGATGTCCTCTAATATGCGTGAGACCATTGGGTCTTGAACGACTGAATGGAAGTCATCGATAGCACGTGTAAGATCGTGGACGTAATCCCTCATGAGGCCGTGAACAGCTGTCTCCAGGGTTTGGCATGAAATTTCCAAGATACTTCGTTTCATGTCAGCAACAAATGTTGCTAAAGCAATGTCAAGGCCGGAATCTAGCAGTGTCTCTGAGAAAGCCGGTAGCTCAGTTCTAACCATGGTTTGAAACTTTATCTGCAGACTTTCCCGTTTGTCGGCTTTGTACTCTTCAGCTTCGCGTAAAACATGCGTCCTCAGGACTTCTAAATTTTCCACAAGCGTGCGCTCTGCCTCCTCCGACTTGAATGTGATTGCTTTTGCCAACGTTTGGATCATTTTGTCCAACACCTCGGCAGCTTTTGAATTCAACAAAGGCACAACCGATGCTTTGTGGGTGATGGAATCCCTTCGCACCTTCATGGTACTCGCAAAGCTTTCTTGAAGAAGTACAAGTTTTCTTACGACTCTAACAGTTTGAATTTTAACAACCTCACAAAGGTGGTTCTCTAGACTGGATTCAAAAAGACGAAATTTTGTGGTTGCTTCTCCCTCTTGTTTTCTCCGGCGTTCTTTGCGAACTTCTTTGGCTGAAATAGCATGGAACATGGGGCACGTCTCCCACGAATCTCCACGGAGATACCTGTCTTTTAGTTGATCAAAAACGGCCTTTCCCTTTTCGTTTGCTATTCTTGAGTCACGTTTACAGCTGGCACCCGTCTTTTCATCATCGTCATCATCTTCATCATCTTCATCATCATCGTCATCACCATCTTCATCATCATTGTTGTCGTCGTCGTCATCATCATCTCTGTGAGTTTGCAAGCGACGTCTTGACCGCCGATCATATTTCGTTGCTTTCGTAGTGATGTCCACTTTGTTGCAAACAAAAATGATTTGAGTTTGAGGAAATTTGTTCCTTAAGAATTCCAGTGTTTCTTCATCCTGAAAGGAAGAAATAAATAGCCCAGTGAAAGGTTAGTTTAAAGAGAAAATTCTGATGGCAAAGATTTACTCTCAGTAACTTCGAATAACAATTTGAGAATGGTACCTAGGATTTTGATTTTTCATTTTTTTTTTTGGGGGGGGTGGGGGTACATGGTTTACTAGGAGAACTGAGTGAGATCAGTCGTCGCCAACATGGTACAAAGGGGAAACCATAGAACATTGACTGCTCATTAACTACCAATGAGGGAGGGGTGGATGACAAGAGTATTACAGAGCCTTATGGGGATCAGTAAATTTCATCATGCCACAACCAAAAGCCCCTGACCCCTCCCCTTCGCTCCTAGGCTATAAATCAACCGGTCCACTGGCACAAAGTAGGTATTTTGGAACTTCTCCAGTCTAGTTCAGTTAGGACAGGGTTCCCTACAGAGGAGAAAGTGGACTATTTGAAAACCCGATTGTACATTCTCGAAACTTTTCTACATTGAGAAAATGAACGACACTTTTTAAATTTAAAACCATGTTTCGATAGTTCTTCTGTCATCTTCAGTTCTGAATGATACAAAGTACAAAGTTGAATTTAAAGTGTGCAACAAAATGCTGATTGGACAAGACAAACAACAGTAACAGAACAATGTATGCAATTACAAGGAAAGTTTTAAGTTAACATAATGATAAAGTTGGTGATTATGTGTAGGTTTCTCCCATTGAATGTGGTTAGCTTCTTTGATTTTAAGTTGAAAATTTGTGGAAGGGTGATCTAAGATGTTAAAACACTTATCAGAACAAAGAGTGCGACATTGTGGAGAATTATGTAGATGTCTGAAAATGTGAGAGTTCCTATCACTGACCAAGTGCTCACGTACGTATGTGGATAAATGCCGAGAGGTTTCGCCGACATAGCAGGCATTACAGCAGCATTTTGTTACACACTTTATATTCAACTTTGTACTCTTAATTGTATTATTCAGAACTGAAGATGACAGAAGAACTGTCGAAACATGTTTTTAAATTAAAAAAGTGTGGTTAATTTTCTCAAATTCGTTACATGTGTACTTCTATCCAGACCTTATGGCAATATCACTTTGCTACTTTGATTTTTATCTCAGTGCCGTTACATATATTACCCTAAAACAGCTCATCGTACGATGAGCTGTTCAGGGTTCTTCTGGTTTAAATTTGTAGTTATTACTTCGCGAGATGATTTCAGGTTTTAATTTTTAAAATCATTTAAATTAAGTTCTATTTTCTCGTGTTTACGAGACTCTTTGGCAAAGTTGCTGTTAGATCAAGTAAGAGATTAAAACTTTCCATAATCTTTGTTGCCAGACTTCAAACCATAACTGAGATGTAAACAATACAGCTTCTATTTATACTAAAGAACAACAGATATGCGTATGTCTCAAGCATGGACTAGTAGAGTGATTCAATGGGTGGTTTAGCCTTTACTTACCGAGCGTGTGAGTCGTTTATCTCCGTTGATGACATATACAAACAATGGTATGGTGCCTTTTTTAAGGAAGCTGTTCAGCACATTGTCTAATGCCTCTGATTCACTCTTCCCAGGCGAGTCGATGAGTTCCAGTCCACTTTGTAGAAGCTTGTGGTTTAATCCGACCTCAACAGTGGCTTCCAAGACAGCTTCATCTTCCCTTTTCTGATCGGAAACCACGATGAATTCTTTTGGGGGTTGTTTGTCGGTGAAGAACTGTTTCTTTACCTCTTCGCCATTTGATCCGACGAGTCTAGCGTACGGCTTAGTTGCATATTTGATTCGAACAATTCTTGCCGTGCAAGGGGTCTCGTCAACAGGTAAAGCAGACTTCCTAAGAAGTTCATTAATCACTGAGCTTTTTCCACAATTCTTTTCGCCGATGAAGAACACCGAAGGGCTTTTCTGGAGCTCGTTTCTTACTTCCTCTTGATGCGGCAAGAGAAACGTGAATGCATCGTCGTTAGTCACTGGAACACTACTTTCGATTTCCTGAAAACAATCCACTGTTCGCTCGAATAAGTTGTAGCTACTGTCGTAGTAGCGTCTGAATTCTTCTATGGCTTTTTGCAAATCGGAGTAACAGTTAGAGTCTCCCATTGATTTCCCACATGAAGTCAATTCATGTTCAGTGGCAGCCATTCAAGAAGCGCCGAAGGTTTCCTGTGTTTCCCAGAAATCATCTACTAGTTGGATTGAAAATTGTACTGGACTTGTACAAAAAGGATAAGCGGAATGTATTTGTCAAGTGACTGTAAGTCTGAAAAAAATAAAATCTGCCACAACGTTCTCGGCTATTTTCCTTAATCGACGATGAACAAGAAGGATCCTGCGATCAGAACTTCATGTAGGAGGCAACTTGATTCGGAAAATACGAAGGGTATAAATATTTTGAAATTGACTTGTTCCCATTTCGCCATATCAGCGGCACTGCCTCTCTCTCCCACGTAGCGAAAGGTCAGGTTCTCTAGTTCTTTCTCAATGCTCTTACTGCTAAAAGCGTCGAAAAGGAGCTCTCAGTCAATATCATTGCTTCGTTAATTTTCTGGCTCATGTGACGACAGTCACAAGTAACCAAGTTTGGGATAGATGTTATTTTTCGGTAACCTAATAAAGGTTAGGCTACTGAGAGGGAGTGGGGGGAGTAGAAAAGGACATGAGAACAGTTGGGCGTTCTCTTTTGAAAGGGAGGGGAGGGACGAGAATACCCAGTCTTCCCAAATGCCCTTTGTTATCGTTGTTGCTAAGTTTCGAAACCCACTCGAGACTTTTCGAGTTCCTCTTCATTCACTCCATACTCGCCACATGAGGTAATATCTACCTCATTTCAACGTTTTTTATTGAAAAAACTTTATTCAAGTTCACATTTTTAGCAAATTTCGTTCTCAATAAAAGGAGGAGGCTGATGGGCAAAAAGTCGATCTCCTCTCTCTTAGAACTTAAATCGCCATTGTTTAATGAAAGCAATTAATCAGTTTTTCCACGCGTTTTCTTTGCCTTATTATTAATATTATTATTTTTCATTTCAAGCCAGCAAAAATAAATATCAACGCTTCATTTTCTGCTTTATACTACTCTTTAGTATTCTACTTTTATAGCGCACAATTATAACAGCTCTTGATAAACTTAACTCTATACGATTAACAACATGGTGATGTTGCTTAGGGAAGTTCAAGCAACATCACCATTGAGTTAACGGGTTTCTACTGTTTCCCTTATGGCTTTTAAATCAGTAATAATAATATCCCTTGTCATGGATGCTCTGTCCTCCCAGCACCTTGTCATTAAGCTCCAACACGCTTCACTCACTGGCGGAATCTGGAATTCTTTATCATCCTTACATAGTAGAATTCCATTTTCCACTGCTGCTTGCAGTCTTTTTACACGGTAATCAAAAGTTTAGATGATTGCATGAGCAAAAGCAAAGATTAGTAATGCACAAGCAAACAAACAAACCAAACGATCGTGTGTTGTGATCTTCCAGCTAAGGAGAGTCCCCAAAAAGAATTTCACTGATAACAGTGACTTAAGTAGCAAAAACCTTGCAAAGTCATCATCAGAGCTAAGTAAGGAGTTGATTGTGAGTCGAATGTTATAAGTCTGGTTTGATGGCAACAAAACAAAACATGAACAGTGCGAGTCTTTTCAAATCTTCCCATTCTGGTGATAAATTATGGCAGAAGCACTCAAGAAAACTCGGAAAATGTGTGATGCTATTACGGTACTTACTTACTGAAAGGAAAAACCGTGAGCTTCCTAAAATATCTTAAAAAACATGAATCATCAAATTAGACAAACAAACCAAGAAATTCCATGGTTGATAGAAACACCTTTCATATCACCGAGAAATCGCTCCAAAATAAAGTCCTCCCTGTTCATTTCTGATAATTGTTCGGGCGAAAATGCAACTTTAAGATCTGTCTTGATCATAGTCTGAGCTTTCTTTGGCATGGTACGCTGGTTTGGAATTTTGTAATGTAAAGCATCCTGAGAAAATTCTTCCTTAAACGACTTTATATGTTCCTGTAATCTCTGCTTTGTATCCTCGGAATCACTGGATGTAAAGGATTTTAACGAGTCGAACATTTTACTTTCTATCTGGCACGCCTGTCTCGTAATTTCTGGTACGATGAATGCTTCCTGAGTGATTTGGGATCTTTGCAGCTGGACAACGTTCACAAAGCTTTCTTGTAAAACCAGGAGGGCTTGAACGATCCTTTTAGTCTGTGTTTTCATGATGTGAGCGAGAAGAATTTGAAGAATTTGAAGAATTTACAGAAATGGTATGGAATAAGTCGCATGTTTTGCTAGATTCTCCTGTGATGAAGTCCCTGCTCTTCAGCTGATTGAAGACAACTTCCTCTTTGTTTTGTTTCTCACTTATGCCCTCAATTTCGTTGCTCCCATCTCTCTCGTTGTCCTCGTCTTCTTCATCTTCCTCATCGTCGTCATCATCATCGTCGTCGTCATCATCGTCAACCGGTCCTGTTGCCTCAATGTCTACTTTATTTCAGACAAAAATGATGGAAGATTGAGGAGATTTATCCTTCAAAAAGGATTATGTTGTTATATCCTTAAATTGAAATGAAAAAAACAAAAAAAATGAATATCATCTCAGGATTATTACTGCGTAATAATCTACATTTCAATTAAATGAACATTTTTCATTAGTCTCGGGAAGCCTATGGATCGTGGAAAATCATGTTTTAAAAGAGAATGACTAAAATAAAATGAAACTAACAAAATATTATAAAATCAATTGTTTTATGCTTTTTTTAGTCAAATACAATGTACAAGCTTGGCAGACAAGGTTCTGGCTCTGTGAGGCCTAGTAAAAGTTTCCGCAAAGTTCCATCTACAAAAAGAATAAGCCCTCATAAAATTGCTCGCTGTTAAGAGTTCATATTTCTTCAAAGCTTTTTTACTTAGAGTCATTCTTGAATCAGGACATTCCTCAATGTTAATAAGATGAAAAGTAATGAGGAAAACATTGGTTTTCACTAATGTTTTTGCGCTTTTGGTGGGAGCAAAAATTGCAGTTCAAGTGAGTACTGATCTTTCTTATTTGAAAGCAATATAAGATTCTGGACCATTGTAAAAGTACATATTTATTCCTAATTGCAGCTTTCACTAAGAGATCTAGAACTTTTTAACTCTTTAATTCCTATGAGTGACCAAGACAGAATTTCTCCTTACAATATCACCACATTATCAACCAGATAAGTGATGAGGATAGAGAAAAATATCAATTTAGGGATAATTAGTTGATCCAATACTAAATTCTCTGAACTAACATTATAAGAATTGTATGGTTGACACTAAGGAGAATGACAAATTTGATCTGGGAGTTAAAGGGTTAAGGAAACTGGTGTGCTTATAACTGAATGGAAATATAATTGGTGTATAATTATTGCCATACACAATGTGAATTTTTTCCTTTAAAGAAACACCCCTTGGTTAAAAGAGGGTTCATCCCTTCTCGATTGCTTTTCATAATGCTAACATTGACTTATCTACTGACATGTCAGTTGATAGTATGTAGGCAGTAAAATAATGAACCCTAAACCTTAGGCAATTTTTTAGCGGTGGTCTTCTCCTAAAAATTTAGCAAAGAATCATGTCAGGCCTCAAACCTGCTAAACTGCTTAAACCTTCTCCTCCAAATCTGCACCTATGATTTGACAGCCCCTATGAATTAACCATTAACTCCCGAGATCTCATCAGTAATTCTCCTTACGTTCTTATGATGTTAGTTTGGAGAATTTGGTATTGAATCAACTTTTAATCCCTTAACCGATACTTTTCTTTATTCTCATCACTTGTCTGCTTGATATTGTATCGATATTGTAGGGAGAAATTCTGTCTTGGTCACTTGTGGGAGTTAAAGGGTTAAATATATAGCATACAATTTATTTTTCAGGGTTAATTTGCTTATGTTTTTGCTCTTTCAAACATATATACCCCTAACAGGATATGATTTTCCATAATTTTAAAGGCCTGACCCCAACTACTATAATAGCGTAGCATTTTCTTACCGGTTCGATTACCTTGATACAAGAAGTTGGAAAACAAAACTTGTAAGGCCTTTGGAAAATTACATGAAGCCAACCTCTGAAACAAGATTAATGGAAAACAGTGACCCATGTTTTTTAGCTCTGGAAGACTTAATTAGACTGAGCGACACCTACAGATAGGCAAGATTGATTACAGGACTTGACCATCCTCAATTCAGGTGAATTAGTGGAAGACAGAAATAATTAACTCACCCCCTACATCACTGGGCTATGCTGATGTGACAAGGTCAATTTATATCTGTATGAGCCCAGGAACTCCCCTGGAAAATTCCTTTCATTTAGACACACATGGATATACTGGTAGTTGGTTGCAGCAATTTCCATGTACTGTATTTTTCAAGAGTAACACAAGCGAAATACCTTAAAGCATTGCTGCTGAATAAATTATTATAAAGGCCAAAAGAAAAAAAGTTTTTTATTCCCCTCCTCTTTCCCCAACCAAAAGAAAGTTAGTTAAGTCGCCTGACTCGACAAAAATTATATCGTATTTCGAAACCTGATCGTACCTTCCGGGTACACTGAAAACCAAAAGACAATGGTTGGTTTGGGGTTCCGAGTCACGTTCTTACGACTAGCGAAGCTATCTCAAAAACTGCCACAACCGTATTCTATATACAATCGAAAGGAAATTAAGGCCGTTTCTTAATTCGAAAACACAAGGTTATGTTTGGACATGTTGCAAAGATTACGAGTTGGTATGGTAAACAACGTTTAGATAAACAACGCTGCCAAGACGTATCTTTCCTGTACCTGTGACTAGTTACATTTAGAATACATGAAGTTTAACTTACCGAAGGTCTGAGACGCATCTTGCCGTCAATTACGTACACAAAAAGAGGAACTGTGCCTTTCTCGAGGAAATCCTCTAACACTGTCCGACACGTCCGTCTTGTTCTTTCCAGGTGAATCCACCAACTCAATTCCACTTTTCAGAAGCTCGTGGTTTAATCCGACCTTTACAGTAGCGTCTAAAGCTTTGGATTCTCTCTGCCTTTGCCTGAGACCACTTCAAAGTTTTTTGTCTTTGAACGAGCCTTGCGCTCAACTCATCCGCGTGTTTGATTCGCACGAGCAAGGGTTCTCGTGAACTGGTCGGTTAGTCTGTTTTAGGAGTTTATTAATTATAGAGCTTTTGCCGCAATTTCTTTCGCCGATGAAGATCAAAGACGGTGTCTTCCTAAGTTCTCTCCTCCTCATTTAACTGCGAGGAGGCAATCAAATTTTCAGAGCCTGCCTGTTGACCGAGATGAATAGGTTCCTCGATCTCATCAAAGCATTTTTAGTTCGCTCGTACAAAAGGGTCGTTCGATCAGAGTAGTGTTTGAAATCATTGATGGCTTCATGTAGAGTCTTTGAGTGCCTGGGCATGGCTAACTTTGACTAGCATTTGAGGCATGAAGGAACATCAGCCACTAAATTTTTTCAGGTTTGCCCTCGTGATTTCTAAGAATTTTCCCTAGGCCGGATGTAAACAACGCACCGTCATCACTTATAGAGGCGGCACTAGATTGGTGAAAATGGGATTTGTGGAATAGTTCGAAAGATTTAACTGTCATGTGTAAGTTTGAAATAACTCTCTTTGAGATGAACAACATCAAGTTAAATGCTAGCCGGTTTCCGTGATATTATTTTTGGTTATAATTTTGTCATATTTCAAGTCGTGACATCTAGCATCTTTGAGTCACGCCATTTGGTGTTAGGTGGTAGTTCAGTGGAGGGAATTTAGCGGCCGCATTATCTTCTGAAAACAAAGGCTCCGATTCAAATTTTACTTCTACCGACTGCAGATCAAAATAAATAGAAAGTAAAGTAATGACGGGAAAGGGGCAGTCATACAGGGACGTTCCCTTGTGTTAGGAGTTAAAATAATAATTTTAATTTTTCTCCTCCCCTTATCCCAACAATAATTTAGTTCGGATTATCACTGTTATTATTTGCAAGGTTCTTAAAATGCAAAGTAGCTGAAATTTTGATTCAAATCAATAAATTGTAGCTTTATATCTTACGTATCCGACGAATTTTCCATTTATTTTCCACAAAACTTTCCTATAAGCTTCACTGGTCACCTTACAATGCACTCAAGATGAAGAAACATGAATCTTCGCGGCCAGGCGAAGTGTCCTTCGCTTTCAAATTTGTTGAATGTTTGATGGCACAAAATCACATTATTTAAGACAAGGAACCACCACTAAGAAAAACGAAACACATTAAGTGGATTGTGCACACGCTTCCAAACTCTTCAAAACTGAATCACCCGGAATGGAGGCACAGTAGATACAACAACAAAAAACTGAAAAGAAGGTTCTTTGAATATATCTACGTGAAAATACGAAAGATCAAAGTTTTCGGATGCCAGAACTCACATGGTAACTTGGGTAGACAGAATCAGCCATTTTGCTTACAAGAAAATAATTCATTACACAAAGATGAAGGCTAAATAATCATTCATGATCACTGGAAAGAGATTTAACGAAATTCGCTCCATATAGACTAGTCTATGGATATTGAAAATTCGATACGTTGATTTTAACTCTTAATTAAACAATTTACAATTTACTGACTGAAAAAAAGAAAAGAGAAATACAGAATGTAACAAAACGAACCAAAACAAACCAAGATCAAAGTGGACAATAGGTCCTGGAAACTAGGGTCTCCGATGAAGAATCCATTTAAAAGAACCAAAGCAGTAATAACCCAACCAAAGACAGGCCCGTCATCATCTGAATCCTTGACGTCCTTGACAGCGGTAATGGAGGTCCCATTCCTTTGTTACACAGATCTTCTTCACAGCATTGGTCGCAGATTTTCACTCCCCTTTCATCAGGATCTGTACAGGATTTGTGACACTCGCTTTTATCAGCGCACCTCCGTATAAACAGGTCAACAGATTTTTCCTTCGTAAATCTTTTCATAATCAGGCAATGATCTTCACCTGCACTGCAATTGATTTTTGTGTTGTTGCCTAGTACAGAGGATGACGATAACGCACAATGTTCCTCAGCGTCGTTATTGTCTTCACGGCTACATTGGTAGCACTGCAAACAGGAAACTACAAATAGAAATAAACCAACTCACGTAAAATAACTGTTTTTACTTAACTTACGGTCGTTTCATTGGCATGTACTAAAATCCGAAACAGCGAAACGAAACGACCGAAACGAAACAAGCGAAACTACCAAAACGACCAAAACGACCGCAACGAAACAACCGAAACGACCAAAACGAAACGATCGAAACGAAACGACCGTAACGACTAAAACAAACCACTACAACAATCGAGAAGAACGGACGATGAAATTCCGAGGAAAATGTACATTTCACATCAGATATTCTCTCGCATTTAAGAAAATTATATTGTGTAACCTTGTTTCAGAAGCCAACCCAAGCCGATGGCAATCGAGAGACAACTACGTTTTCCCGAAAGGTAGATCAGGAGTAAACTATAATCAAAACGAGATGAATATATGACCCTGACACCACTGGGCAATCATTTTACTGTCAATGACTGTTTTTCCCTTTTTTTCATGCTAATTTTTGGTCCTTGCGGTGATTTCTTTTCGGTCGTTTCATTTTGGTCGTTTCGGTTGTTTTTGTTGGAAATTCATACCTGTTACCAAGCACGGGGCAAATATCAGCAGTCCAACAAATGATTTTGCTGCCATGTTTCGTTCACAGTCCACAAAGAAAGGTAAACAGGTAATTCAGTGTTATGAACTGAGTTAAAAACGTAAATTGACCACTGTATAGAGTTTAAAGACTGACGTTTCGAGCGTAAACCCTTCGTCAGAGCGATTGGAGGAATTGTGGGTTGTGTGTTGGAGTTATATTATTGGTGGGAATATGGAGAAGAGAAAATAAAAATAAATTAGTTGAATAAAAAGCGCTCGTTGATACCGTGAGGATTAAGAATGCCGATTTGGAAGATAAATTTTTGTTCTACTGTCTTGCTGCTTTCGTTAACCGGTAAACCAGACCTCATTTATCACTGATCTTTCTCCATAATTCCTTTCGCCGATGAAGAACACTGAAGGGCTTTTCTGGAGCTCGTTTCTTACTTCCTCTTGATGCGGCAAGAGAAACCTGAGTGCATCGTCGTCATTCACTGGAACACTTCCTTCGATTTCCTCGAAACGATCCACTGTTCGCTCGAATAAGTTGGAACTACAATCACAGTTGCAAGTCGGAGTAACTGTGAGAGGCTCCCATTGATTTCCCACAAGAAGTCAATTCACGTTTTCGTAGCACCCATTCAACCCTACAAAAAGGATAAGCGGAATGTATTCTTTAAGTGACAGTAAGTCTGAAAAAATTACTTCCTGCGTCGACGTTCTCGGCTATTTTCCTTGGTCGATGATGAAGAAGAGGGATCCCGAGATCAAAATTCAGGAGGCAGCTTAATTCGTAAAAATATGGAGCGGCACTGTCTCTTTATTCCATATAGCGAAAGATTAGATTCTCTTATTCTTTCTCAATGCTCTTACTAATAGAAGCGTTGAAAAGGAGCTCTCAGTCAATATCATTACTTCATTAACTTTCTGGCTTATGTGGCGACAGCCACAAGTAACCAAGTTTTGGATACATGTTATTTTTCGGTAGTCTGATAAAGGGTTAGGCTACAGAGAGGGAGGGGGGGGGAAAGTTGTCAAGGACACGAGTGTAGTCGCGCGTTCTCTTTTGGGGGGGAGAGGAAGGACGAGAATACCTGTCTTCTCAAATGCCTCCGCGGAAAGGGTCTCTGTTATCGTTGTGGCTGAGTTTTGAAACCCAATAGAGACTTAAAAGTTTCTCTTCATTTCACACTGGCCACATGAGATAATATCTGCCTATCTCCAGCTTTGTTTAAAAGAAACTTAACTCAAATTCAAACTTTTAGCAAATCTCGTTCTTAACAAAAGGAGGGAGGGTGATGGGCGAAAAGCCGTGACATGTGATAAGTCGATCTCCTCTCTCATAGAAACTACCTCGCCATTGTTTAACAAAAGCAATTAATCAGTTTTTCCACGCGTGTTCTTTGCCTTATCATATTTTTTTTTCATTTCAAGCCAGCAAAAAGCAATATCAACGCTTCATTTTCTACTTTATACGTATTCAGTAGCGCACAATTATTACACAGCTCTTGATAAACTTAATTCTATACGATTAACATACAAAAACGAGTGTTGTTTATTCTCGTCACGCTACACCCTCTCTTTTTTGCGTGACGGGACCAAACAATAGCTTCAGAGGGGTGTGAGGAAAAGATTGATCGGTCTAGGTTTCCACGGCAACAATATTGACTCAACCCAATCCTTAAAGCTAACCTCATAACCCAAATTCGGTTTAAGAAGAGTCTTATAAGGCCCAGTTGCTTAGGAAAGTTCAAGCAACATCACCATTGAGTCAACGGGTCCTATCTACTGTTTCCCTAATGGCTTTTAAATCAGTAATAATAATATCCATTGTCATGGATGCTCTGTCCTCCCAACACCTTGTCATTAAGCTCCAACACGCATCACTCACTGACGGAATCTGGAATTCTTCATCATCCTTACATGGTAGAATTCCATTTTCCACTGCTGCTTGCATGGATTGGATAGTTTTCATGTCTTTGTATACTTTCGGTCTTGATGTACCTCTTCCCTCCAAAAGCACCCATAAAAGCATTCCAAATGCATAGATGTCGTAGGAGAGGTAACTGAGGTGACCTTTCCCGTGGTACTGGTACATTTCTGGTGACACGTGGAACGGAGCGCCCAGAGTGGTCATGTCGTATGGACATTCAGGCTTAGCGAGGTTGATCGTTGCTCTTCCATCAGACATTAACTAGGAGAAATGAGAGAGTTACCCACATCAAAATTTTAGCTTAAAGAAATGTAATGAGGAACATGACCTTAAGATTTACAAGAACATCAAGTAAAGATCATAAAGGAGCACAAAAAGTCTTTTTACACGGTAATCAAAAGTTTAAATGATCGCATGAGCAAAAGCAAAGATTAATAATGCACAGGCAAGCAAACAAACCAAACGAACGTGTGTTGTGATCTTCAGCTAGGGAGAGTCCCCAAAAAGAATTTCATTGGTAACAGTGACTTAAGGAGCAAAAACCTTGTCATCATCATCATCAAAGCTAAGTAAGGAGTTGATTGTGAGTCGAATGTGATATGTCTGGTTTGGTGGCAACAAAACAAAACATAAACAGTGCCAGTCTTGTCAAATCTTCTCATTCTTGTGATAAATTATGGCAGAAGCACTCAAGAAAACTCGGAAAATGTGTCATGCTATTACGGTACTTTCTTACTGAAAGGAAAAACCGTGAGCTTCCTAAAATATCTCAAAAAACATGACTCATCAAATTAGACAAACAAACCAAGATATTTCCGGGCTTGATGTCCTCGTGAATGTAGCCGATTTCGTGAATGGCCTTCAGTCCTTCAGCCACGTCTAGAGCCATCTTGATCCTCGTGATCAGTTTGGAGAGCGAGGAACGGGCCCAGGCCGAGGCAAGCTCTTTGAGAGCACAAAGAAGACTCTTCTCTGCCTTCTCCATGACAACATGTAGTACATCCGGCTTAGGGAAAACCCAGCCGTACAGCCGCAACAGATTGGGATGGGAACCTTTTAGTTTCTGAATCATATCCCTAAAACAAAAAGGTAAGGTAAGCTTTAGAGGAAGCTTTAGTACTGCTACCCCACCCTAGATGGGATACCAGTCCAACACATCTTTCAAAGTCGACTTTGAAACTTTGATAATTATACTGAAAAAGTAACTGAATTGGTTACTTACATCATATTGACGAGATCCACTGCATTCTGCTTCCAGGCACTTTCACCAACTTTCTCTTTCTCGATCACTTTCACCACGCACTGACCACTGGGCGAGCAACGGTACCAACTAACGCTCGCACAATCAAAGAGTTGGCCGTGGCGTGTTTTCGCTACGAGTGAGCCGCATGCTATTGGCCCATGGTTCTGCACATATTTCAAAGCCATTCCTTCGACGGCAAGCATTCGTATCTCAGGAGTAAAACGAAGACGAAGATCTTCAAGCTGCTCTGTAGCTTGGCAATTAGAAAAGGCCGTTTGCAAGCGCATGAGAAATTCCATGGTTGATAGAAACCGATCTCGCATCCTCTGAAAGCGATCGAAACAGGCTTCGAAAACTGCCTCTGCAACCCTCTTTTCGTCGATAGTGTCGAAAAGGGATTCAACGACTAACTGTCGACGTGTTTTATCAGCAACATCCCTTTTTGTGCAAGTCGTCATCTGTTTGGAACTAAGGGGTCCCGAAATTTCTTTCCTCAAAGCAACCCTGGCAGCTTCCTTTATGGAATCCAAAAGATGGTTAAGAATATCTTCAATAACTTCGTGTGTTTTAGCTTTTGCTTCAACGAAATGCACTCCGTAGCTTTCCTCCAAAATTTTAGAGACCATGGGGTGTGTGAGGTTCTCGTTGAAGTCAATGATGGCTTTGATAAGATCATTCGCTACTTCGTCCATCAAGGATTCCACAAACTTGTCGAGGGAATTGCACATTTTTTCCAAAATGTTGCCTTTCATATCACCGAGAAATCGCTCCAAAATAAAGTCCTCCCTGTTCATTTCTGATAATTGTTCGGGCGAAAATGCAACTTTAAGATCTGTTTTGATCATAGTCAGAGCTCTCTTTCGCATAGTACGCTGGTTTGGAATTTTGTATTGTAATGCATCCTGAGAAAATTCTTCCTTCAACGACTTTATATGCTCCTGCAATCTCTGCTTTGTATCCTCGGAATCACTGGATGTAAAGGATTTTAACGAGTCGAACATTTTACTTTCTATCTGGTACGCCTGTCTCGTAATTTCTGGTACGATGGATGCTTCCTGAGTGATTTGGGATCTTTGCACCTGGACAACGTTCACAAAGCTTTCTTGTAAAACCAGGAGGGCTTGAACGATCCTTTTAGTCTGTGTTTTCATGATGTGAGCGAGAAGAATTTGGAGTTGACCTTGGAATCGCTGGAATCTCCTTGTTGCTTCTCCCTCACTACCCTGATCCATCCGTTCCTCGCGAACATCTTTTGCAGAAATGGCATGGAATAAGTCGCATGTTTTGCTAGATTCTCCTGTGAGAAAGTCCCTGCTTTTCAGCTGATTGAAGACAACTTCCTCTTTGTTTTTCTTTTTTGTTTTTTTGTTTTCGTTGTCCTCGTCTTCATCATCATCTTCATCTTCCTCATCGTCGTCGTCATCATCGTCGTCATCATCGTCGTCATCATCATTGTCAAGCGGTCCTGTTGCCTCAATGTCTACTTTATTACAGACAAACATGATGGAAGATTGAGGAGATTTATCCTTCAAAAAGGTTAATGTTGTTACGTCCTTAAATTGAAATGAAAAAAACAAATAATGAATATCATCTCAGGACTATTACTGCGTAAAAATCTACATTTAAATGTGCAGTTTTCGTTAGTCTCGGGAAGCCTATGAATTGTGGAAAATCATGTTTTAAAAGAGTATGACTAAAATAAAACGAAACGAACAAAATATTATGACAAATCAATTGTTTCATGCTTTTTTATAGTCAAATATAATGTGCAAGCTTGGCAGACATGCTTCTCGCATTGTGAGTTCATATTTCTTTAAAGCTTTTTTACTTTAGAGTCATTTTTTAATCAGGACATTCCTGATCATAAGTGACACACTCGGCTGCGCCTCGTGTGCCACTTTTTTGTTCTTACCACATTTTGACGTCATCTGTGATCTATTACTGAACAGACGCACGGCAACATGGAATCTATTTGTTAAATTTTTTCCTAATTGCAGCTTTCACCAAGAGATCTAGAATCATTTAACCCTTTAACTCCCATGAGTGACGAAGACTGAATTTCTCCTTACAATATCAATACAATATCAACCAGATAAATGATGAGAATAGAGAAAAATATCAATTTGGGGATAATTAGTTGATCCAATACTAAATTCTCTGAACTAACATTATAAGAATTGTATGGTTGACATTAAGGAGAATGACAAATTTGATCTGGGAGTTAATGGGTTAAGGAAACTGGTGTGCTTAAAACTGAATGGAGATATAATTGGTGTGTAATTATTGCCAGGCAAAATGTGAATTTTTCCCTTACGAAAACACCCCTTGGCTAAGTAAGAGGGTTCATCCCTTCTCGATTGCTTTTCATAAAGCTAACATTAACTGATCTACTGAAATCTCTATGATCAGTTGATGGTATGTAGGCAGTGAAATTATGAACCCTAAGCCTTAAGCAATTTTTTAGTGGTGCTATGCTCCAAAAATTGAGCAGACTCATGTCAGGCCTCAAACCTGCTAATCTGCTTAAACATTCAAATCTGCACCTATGATTTGACAGCCCCTATGAATTAACCCTTAACTCCCAAGATCTCATCAGTAATTCTCCTTACTGTCTGCTGTACAGTTCTTGTGATGTTAGTTTGAAGAATTTAGTATTGGATCTACTTTTAATCCCCTTACTGATATTTTTCTTTATTCTCATCACTTTTTTGCTTGATATTGTATTGATATTGTAAGGAGAAATTCTGTCTTGGTCACTTGTGAGAGTTAAAGGGTTAAATATATAGCATACAATTTATTTTTCAGGGTTACTTAGGTTATTTTTTTGCTCTTTCACACATATCTACCCCTCACAGGATATGATTTTCCATAATTTTAGAGGCCTGACCCCAAATACTTTGATATAAGAAGTTGGAAAACAAAGCTTTTATGGCCTTTGGAAAATCACATCAAGCCAACTTCTGAAACAAGGGTAATGGAAAACAGTGACCCATAGTTTTGAGCTCTGGAAGACTTTATTAGACCAAGTGACACCTACAGATAGGCAAGATTGATTACAGGGCTTGACCATCCTCAGTTCAGGTGAATTAGTGCAAGACAGAAATAATTAACTGATCCCCTACATCACTGGGCTATGCTGGTTTGACAAGGTCAATTTATATCTGTATGAGCCCAGGAACTCCCCTGGAAAATTCCTTTCATTTAGACACACATGGATATACTGGTAGTTGGTTGCAGCAATTTCCTTGTTCTGTATCTTGCAAATTAAAGTAATGCAAGTGAAATGTGTCAGTGAAGTCTTTTGTTCTCATGAACTTTCCTTGAATTGTTGTGTGGAAGTTCGAATCACAATTTGAGGCTTTTTGAGCAAAATTTTCATTGAACAAAGAGCATTATTTTGTCTAATTTTTGCTTTGAAACAAAAGTTCAGCAAGGTTTTGCAATAAAAACCATTGATTTACTGCTTAACTTTTGCTTTGAAACAAAAGTTCAGCAAGGTTTTGCAATAAAAACCATTGATTTACTGCTTAAAGCTTGAAATTTCATGCTAGATAAACTCAATAGTTTGCCATGTAATTTATACAATCTATTCTTCATGTATGAACAGTTCATTTCTCTGATAAACATTTGCCTCAAACCAATTGGAGGGGACATAGGCACAAAATTGAACAAGCCACAAAATCAATTTAGGTGCAAAGGACCACTATCTCTAAACACAGGCTCACATCTAAACCAGCAGCTTCCCATCGGTAAAAAAACTTGTTTTTTACAAAAAAAAGAAAGAAGGAAAACAGTATGTATTCTGTAAAATGTAGTTCATCTGGAAGTTATAATATTATTTATGCAATCTACATTCAATTCACAAAAAGATGTCACATATAGTGCTGACATTGCCAATTTTTCCCAACTGCAACTCAAATGTGAGAAAAAAAATCTGCATAATACTTTAGCCAGTTAGAAAAAAAACCCTGATTTCCCTCAAATCACCATCAAGGGCTGGCATGGGTTTTGGTTTTCAGGCACCAGGGTCTTTTGTAACCATTTATACACATTTATACCCTTACATCAGTATGCATATCCTCCGTACTGATCTCTTTACAATTCCCATGGTACTGACGAGGAGAATTTGTGAAGCAATCAAGGGTTTTTTTTCCCCCAACCGAATAAATTTAGTTAAGTTGCCTGACTCGACAAAAATTATATCGTATTTCGAAACCTAATTGTAACTTCCGGGTACACTGAAATCCAAAAGACAATGGTTGGCTTGGGCTTCCGCGTCACGTTCTTACGACTAACGAAGCTATCTCAAACACTGCCACAACCGTGTTCTACGAAAGGAAATTAAAGCCGTTTATGATTCAGTTACAATCGAAGACACAAGGTTATGTTTGGACATGTTGTAAAAATTATGAGTTATTATGAAAAACATCCGAGTCTTGTCAAACCTCCTCCGTTCATCAATGACGCTCAGATAAACAATATTTAGATAAACAACGCTTCCAAGAAGTATCTTTCCTGAAACTGTGACTAGTTACATTTGAACTAGATGAAGTTAAACTTACCGAAGGTCTGAGACGCATTTTTCCGTCAATTACGTACACAAAAAGAGGAACTGTGCCTTTCTCGAGGAAATCCTCCAACACTCTATCCAAAACGTCCGACTCGTTCTTCCCGGGTGAATCTATCAACTCGATTCCACTTTTCAGAAGCTCATGGTTTAATCCGAACTCCACAGTAGCGTCTAAAGCTTTTGGATTCTCTCTGTCTTTGTCTGAGACCACTATCAACTTTTCGAGAAGTTTTTTGCCTTTGACATCTTCTCTACTTCGTACCACGTTCCCATCTGCTCCAACGAGCCTTGCGCTCAACTCATCCGCGTGTTTGATTCGCACGATTCTGGCTGTGCAAGGGTTCTCGTGAACTGGTAGGTAAGTCTGTTTTAGAAGTTCATTAATTATGGAGCTTTTGCCGCTATTTCGTTCGCCGATGAAGACTACAGTCGGTGTCTTCCTAAGTTCTCTCTCCACATCATTTAACTGCGAGGAGGCAATCAACTTTCCAGAGCCCGCTTGTTGACCGAGATTAAGACGTTCCTCGATCTCCCCAAAGCATTTTTTAGTGCGCTCGTACAAAAGGGTCGTTCGATCAGAGTAGTGTTTGAAATCATTGATGGCTTCTTGTAGAGTCTTTGAGTGCCTGGACATGGCTAACGTTGACTAGCATTTGAGACCTGAAAGGAACATTAACCACTAAATTTGATCAGGTTTGCCCTTGTGATTTCTGGGAATTTTTCAGAGGCCGGATGTTAATAACGCACATTACTTATAGAATCGGTACTGGACTGGTGAAAATGGGATTTGTGGAATAGTTCTAAAGATTTAACTGTCATGTGTATGTTTGAAATAACTCTCTTTTAGATGAACAACATTAAGTTAAATGCTAGCTGGTTTCCATGATATTATATTTGGTTATATTTCGTCGAAAAGGTTGTAGTTATTCATCGTGGTGAATAACAATAAAAGCTAAGTTTTTCGTTTGTCTCACGATGTAGTCACGTGTGATGTAGATTGCGATGTTTCGACTGCATACTGCTTGTCTTCTTCAGGCGATGAATACTAGCAGTATGCAGTCGAAACATCGCGATCTACATCACACGTGACTACATCGTGAGACAAACGAAAAACTTAGCTTTTATTATTTGGTTATAATTTTTTCATATTTCAAGTCGTGACATCTAGCATCTTTGAGTCACGCCATTTGGTGTTAGGTGGCAGTTCAGTCAAGTGCATTTTAATAGCGGCCGCATTGTCTTCTGAAAACTAAGGCTCCGATTCAAATTTTATTTCAACCGATTGCAGATCAAATTTGATAGAAAGCAAAGTAATGACGGGTAAGGGGCAGCCATACAGGGACGTTCCCTTGTGTAAGTGCCCCCATAGCATGAGTTTCTGTTCATTGTTTGATTTGGTTAATAATTTTAAAGTCACACTAGTTGGCTCGTCACGCGCTCTTAAGTGTAATAAAAGGCCCTTTGATCAGTTTTTGGTTAGCACTCGTGCTCGTAAGGAAAGGAATTAGTAAAGGAAAGGTTCAATCGATATCAGCTCTCGCCAGATCCGGCAATAATGTAAGTTTGATTTACCTGGAGCATTTCTTAATCTTTTTGCGTGTCCCTAATTTCTTAAATCAATTCTTAGTTTCACGATACTATACAAGAATAAAGAAGGCGTTCCGAAAGAAGTTTGGTGCGGGACTTTGTATTGATCAGTGGAATTTGTACGGTCCAGCTAGCGGTGGACAAGCGCCGCTATACCTTGAGTTAAAAGTTAAAATTAGATATAATTTTGATTTTTCTCCTTCCCTTTTCCCAACAATTTTTCAGTTTGGATTATCATTGTAATTCTTTGAAGAGTTCTTAAAATGCAAAGTAGCCGAAATTTTGATTGAAATCAATAAATTGTGGCTGTATATCTTGCGTCTCCGACGAATTTTTCATATATTTTCCACAAAACTTTCATATAAGCCTCGCTGGTCACGCTACAATACACTGATGATGAAGAAACATGAATCTTCGTGTCCAGGCGAAGGGTCCGTTGCATTAAAAATTTGTTGAATGTTTGATGGCACAAATCCAAATTATTTAAGACAAGGAATCACCACTAAGAAAAATGAAAACATAAGGTGGATTGTGCACACGCTTCCAAACTCTTCAAGATTGAATCGCTCGGAATGGAAAACAAAATAGATATAACAACAAAAAAAAAAACTAAAGAAAGGCTCTTTGAATATATCTTCGTCAAAATACGAAAGATAAAAGTTTCGGATGCCAGAACTTACATGGTAACTTGATTAGACAGAACCAGCCATTTTTCTTACAAGAAATTAATTTATTACACAAAGATGAAGGCTAAATAATCATCCATGATCACTGGAAAGAGATCTAACTAACTTCTTTCCATATAGATTAGTCTATGTGTGTTAACAAGTTCATTAACAATAATTTACTCCTAAAAATTCGATACGTTGACCTTTAATTTCACTCTTAAACAATTTACTTACTACAATAAAAAAATTAAATGCTGAGAGGAACAAAACAAACCAAAACAAACAAAGATCAAAGTGGGAAATGGGTCCTAGAAACTAGGGACTCCGATGAAGAACTCCATTTAAAGGAACCAACGCAGTAATAACCCAACCAGAGACAGGCCCCTCATCATCTGCATCCTCGACGTCCCCGACTTCTGAGACTTTTCTTTAGGTCCCTCTCCAGCTCCTTTGTTACACAGATCTTCTTGACAGCAAATGTCGCAGATAATCTCTCCATTATTATCAGGCTTTGAGCAGTCGTTGGTACACTCGCTTTTCTCAGTGCACTTCCTTGTAAACAGGTCAACAGAGTTTTCCTTCGTAAATCTTTTCGTAATCTGGCAATGGTCTTCACCTGCACTGCAATTGATTTTTGTGTTATTGCCCAGTTCAGGGGGTGACGGCAACGCACAATATTCCAAAGCATCGTTATCGTCTTCACGGCTACATTGGTAGCATTGCAGGCAGGAAACTACAAATAGAAATAAACTAAGTCAGGTAAAATTACTGTTTTTACAGCCAGAGTTACTTAACTTAAAAGTCGGTAATTAGGAAACTCTTATTTAAAGCAAAGTAGACAATGTGCAATAGCAGCACAGCAGCTAATCACAGCCGTTGTCTAGTCATGTCACACAACGCTTTGCGTGACGGGAACAAAAAAAAAGGCTGCAAGGGAGACTATCGTAAATGTGAAGCTGCTGAGTAAACCGATAGTACTTCGGCGGAAATGAAACCCTTGCTGCCACCTTTGAACTTGTTTAGGTAAGGAAGGAGGATCAATAGAAATATAATTAAGATTTAAATAGCGGCTGTATTCTCAGAGTGGTGCCATATCCAAATGACAGACTCCTCCGGAACACTCGATACCGAATGTATGAAACGCCGAACACGTACTCAAACTCAGAACTATGACTGATATCTGAGGAGATGATTTTTATACCGCTTTTTAAAACCACGAATAGAGAGCCGTTTCAAGTTTGTTGGTCCGTTTCCCATAATTTAGAGGCTACATATACAAAGGTAAATTTTCCAGTGTTGGTTATTACTTTTGGTCGATGAAAATTACCCCTAAGGCGTATCTGGTGTTATACTTGTGCAGGCTAGAAACTGTTCTGAGAGAATCTTTAAACAGTGAAGGAATACTGGAGGACTTGTTAAGTATCTTAGGTGCGAGTACGCATGTACTCAGTTTAACAATATTATCAAATTTAAGATTATTAAGAAGTTTATAGAAAACTTGGGATGATTCTCTACTATCAGCAAAAAACACACAGCGGATGTATTTATTTTGAAGAGAGTATAACTTGTTTAGATTTCATGGATAACTATTTCCTCACACGACAACTGCATAATTTAAATAAGGGTATATCAGTGTATATTAAAGTTGCTTGAGAACATGTATACTAACGTAGTGTCTTGATTTATACAGGATCCCAATATTTTTAGACACCTCGCTTTTAACATGGGTAAAAAATTCAAGTGTTGGTCTGTATAAACACAAAGGCACTTCATGCAAATCTTTTGCTCAAAATTTAAAATGCTTATGAGTAACATTTTTAAGTGGTGAGGTTATTAACATGAAGTTAGTTTTTTTCATGTTAACTGATAGTTTATTGATGGAACAGTAATTTAGAACTTTAGTCATTTCATAGTTCATAACTGATTCAATATCATTTATGTCATCTGAAATATAGAAAATGCTAGCATCGTCAGCAAAAAGTCGAAAGGACAATTTGTTAGATAAATTGGCAATGTCATCGATATAAATTAAAAATAATAAGGGGCCCAAAGTAGATCCATGTGGTACACCACAAATCATCTCTAATAAACTTCATTTTTCTTCTCCAATTTGAACAAATTTCTTGCAATCTTGGAGAACTTGCAAAACAATCACGCGGCTTACCACGGACACCATATTTACAGAGTTTTTCTGTCATTATTTGATAATTTACTGTATCAAATGCTTTTGAGAGATCTAAGGGGAGGCCACAAGATCTAAAATTACTGTCAATAGAGGCCTTCAGATTATCGGTGATCTCCATAATCGCTTGCTCAGTGGGATGGCTTTTTCTAAAGCCAAACTGGTACTTAAAAAAATACATCATGCTTATCAAGGTATTTAACTAGCTGATCATAAATGACTCACCCCAAGGCCTTACTGAAGGGGGATAGTGTGGCTATTGGCCGGTTATCATAAGGATCAGACAAAGCTCCACTTTTAAAAACAGGAGTTATTTTTGACACTTTAAATACATCAGGCACAATGCCAGTAGAGATTAACTTATTGCCCCCGCAGGGTTTTTGGCCCCAGAGGGCCAAAAACCCGAGGAGGCACCTTAGGACTCCCCGTGTAATATAGAGGAAGACTGGAGAAGAGAGAATGTGGGTATTTTCGGTAGATCATAACCAGAAAAAATCTCGATTTGATCGCTTGCACGGCCGCAAGGTATCAACGTTTTCCCCGCAAATGGTCATGGGCTGCCAGTAAAAAGACACGCGCGCGAAGACTTTTAGGATCGGCGTCTTTGACACGAGATTTGTCCTAGTATAGAGGAAGACTGGAGAAGAGAGAATGTAGGCCCTCTTAAGGTATAATTTTGTGTCTAATAACTATATAATAATAAATTGTTCTTCAATGCTGTCTATAAATTGTTCTCCAATGCCACCTATAACATTCCAATGTTAAAACTCACCCAAGTCCCTACATTCTGCTTCTTCTTGATCGTGAAGAACAAACAAATCCTAAGTTAAACCACACAGCAAAAAAAAAAAAAAAGAAAAAAAACCCCCAAGCACTTCCCAAAACTACATTTTGTACACTTGTAGTATTTTGATCCAAAATTACTAACACCAAAGTACTGAGCCGCAATTCCGTAACAGCACAACAGAAAAATTACACAACTGTAAACAACAAGCCCAACTCAAAAAAAAAAAAAAAAGAAAATGGTACTGTAGGGCGGGGGCAGCTCTAGTGAGAACTATAACTAGTTATAAATAAATGCAAATGACTTGGAGAGGGTCTTAGAGGCTAATCTAACCAATTTATTTGGAATATCCATTGATGATATCTTATTATTTAAGCAAGAGAAAAAGTCCGCAACCCACTCTTCTGTCACAGGAGACAGAAAAACTATGTAAAGGAGAATGATTAATAAGCCCACATAGATCTCCAGCAGTATTATGAATAACTTTTGCCAAATTAGGGCCGACATTAATAAAATGCTGATTCAATTGCTCAGCAATATAGAGAACTCTTTGCTATCTCTTAAGATTCTAACAGGACAATTTTGGCCGGCAAATTTCGTCTAGGGCTCGGCAAATTTCGTCTGGGGCAAGGCAAATTTCTCTTGCTGCCTAAACACTGCTCTGGCCTGCTCAACAGTTAGCGTAACTGGAATGTAAATTTTGCTCGACCGTGTTTAATCTAATTATTGATTTCACGCAAATACTTCTGGGTGTCTATTACGTATTGACAAACACTCCCGCAAAGGACAACATATTACATTGCTAATTAAAAATAAAGAAAAAGGACAAAAATTGAATTGAATGCTTAAAAACATGGCGTACATTAAAATTTAACGTTAAGTTAATCAAAGCTAACCCGGTAAAAATTTCCGCACAGCCCCATACTATTGTAAAACAAATCTGTTTTCCCAATGGCAATGTATTGTTTTTGTCATTGTTTTCTCAATCCAAGAACTGAATGCATAATGTAGTATGGGGCTGTGCGGAAATTTTACCGCTAACCCTAACCCTAACCCTGGCCCTAAACAACGACGGCACTACTTACTTTTTGTCAATTCAAAATCAATAGATAATTTCACCGATTCTCACCGTAATTTTAAAAACCTGAATCACAATGAGTTTGTTGCTGACCTTGACAATGCTCCATGGTCTCTTCTCGATATGTTTGATGATGTTAACGAAAAGCTCGACACTTGGGAATGGATTTTCAACGATGTGATGAATCGACACGCCCCCATTGTCAAGAAAAGAGTGAAACTTACGCCTTTAGTACCGTGAATGAACAATGACATCTTACAGCTTATGCACCGTGGAGACCAGTTCAAAGCACGTGCCAAATCAAACATTCTTGCAGGCATAATGTACAAAAGATTACGTTACTAGGTGGTAAAGACAATGGCCAAGGCCGAGACGGGTTATGTGAGGAACGAGATCTCCAAAAATATGAATAATCCAAGGACTCTGGAAAACTCTCAAGAGAATTGCTCCAACTAAATCTGCACCCTCCAATTTTTCATTCATCGAGACGGAAGATAAAATTTTTTATGATCCTTCCACTTGCGATACCTGATTGCAATGTGGATATTTACGCCGATGACATTACATTATGGATGGCTAATTCTAATCCTTTGCATATCCAACACGGACTTCAGGGAAGTCTCAACAAAGCGAATCACTGGTTCTCGCTTAACAAGATGGTCCCAAACGCAAAGAAACAAAACAGCTACTTGATGGAACCAAGCAAAAACTTTCCTACTGCACAAACCCATCGCTTAACCTTTCGTTGCGAGGCACCGAAATCGAAGAGGCCATCAACGAAAAGCTGCTTGGTGTCAATATAGACAAGCATCTTAGTTGGAATAGCCATATAGATTACATGATCACTAAATTGAATTCTAGCGTAAATCTTCTTAAAAGAGCCAGAGAGTACCTGAATCTATCACTTAGGAATTTGCTATACAACGCTTTAATTAAACCAATCTTCGAATAGTGTTGTTCAGTGTGGGGAAACACTAAGATTGATAATTTACAAAGGCTCCTCAGAATTTAAAAACGTTGTGCCGGAGTAATTTTAAATGCAGGCACTGAAAGAACAGTTGGCCTTTTTAAGAGATTAGCTTGAATCTCCATTAGTGACATAATAGAGCAAAGGAAATTGTGTATTATGCATAACATTATCCATCATTATATTCGTTAGGTTAAATATAGACATCATTACATAACTCGGGCGTCAACTAATATGGACTTATCCACACCTTTTTTTAGCACCATGACCGGCAAACGTTCATTTCTTGCAAGTGGCACTAGATTATGGAACAACCAAGACAGTACTACTAGGGGTCTCACTTCCCTTTGTAAATTTAAAAATCAACTACACAAGAAATATTTAGATCGGAACTCCAGAGTTGATAACTTTACTGCGAGTAGAAATTTTAATTAACTTTTAATTGTATTTTTTCTTCGTATTTTTGCTATTTGAATTTGAAGTTTTCTAGGACCACAATGAGAATTAACTACTGGTTCTACCAATAATTGTGTAATCCAATAAAGTCATTATTATTATTAATAGATTGTGGACATCAGAAGCGTTGAACACACGTACATGGCGACGATTTTGTTTACTTTTCAACACGAAAAATGAAATTTACACGATGCAATACTTATCGAGCAAAAGCTCATTCCAGTTTTTATTCGAAACAATCGTTCCTTAGAAGTTTTGTTTTGTATTGACCATCATAAGGGAATGGTTATATCAAGGAGGTCTTTGCTCCTCACAGGAGACTTAGCGGTTTTGTAATTTCAAGCGACTCCGACTGAAATGAAAGTTTTTTTAATCGAATCTAATACTGCTCGAGTAAGGATCGAATTGTGTGAGACTAAGAAGCTGATATTTCTTCGCTAAACTACGGGCCAAAGATAAACTTTCTTCATTGGTGCGCTTTCCTAGAGAATTCGTCGCATGATTTGTGCAAGTGTGGTTAGCGAACCGGTTAATCGAACGAAATGAAAATTATTACGGTTATTCTGTGTTAGGTGTTTTGCGGCTTGTGAGGCATCACTGCCAACACAAGGCTGCTGCAATTCCTTCGGAAATGAAATCATAGATTGAAAGAAATTCATACCTATTGCCAAGCACGAGGCAAATATCAGCAATCCAACAGATGATTTTGCGGCCATGTTTCGTTCGCTGTTTACAAAGACAAGTCACAATCGAAAGTAATATTGAATTGCAAATTACTTTTTTTTTCAGTCTTGTTTAAACTATCAGGTTGCTGAGTTTTTTTGTCAAGAAAACCCTGAATGGTTGAGTTGCCTTGGATTAAAGAAAAACAATCTTTACCTCAAACTTGCGAATAAAGAGTAAAATATATATGTCAAATTTTAGAGGTGAGCCAAAAATACTTCAGTAGTAACTGTTGATAGATTGGCTTTTTCGCATGTTCCTGCTAATACAAAAGCCATGCATGTGTTGATTTTTCCCACCTACTGTTTACACGATAAGTATCGTAGTTTTCACGGGCGCTAGCTTATTGGAAATATATAGAGCTTTAAGCCGTCCGAGATGCTGCTGTTTTCAAACTCTAAAAGCGTGTATATTAGAAAGGCTGACCGAGGATGATTCATGCTGCCCTCTTTGGAAATTTACGTTGATTTACTTTGAATAAATAACATACTTTACATACAAATGAAAAGTTGTAGCCGCATTGTAAAGCAACCGTGCGAAACTGCGACAAGGAGCTGAGTAAGGTTATGGAAAGACTGGCACAAGGACGTTTTATTCTAGATTGTCTAACTGTCTGTTAAAGGTTTAAAAAAATTTTCACGCCAGCATAATATGAGGGTGAAAAACAATTTGATCTCAGGAGTAATTTTTCTTATGAGTGGCAGGAGTATTTAAGTGTTCAGCAGTATGAACTGTTCTTTCAACGATTCCTAAACCCGCTTTTAGAATAGGATAAGTTCGATTGGTAACTCGAACTGAGTGGATGACAATTCAGGAAGTTATCGGGCGAATGATTTCCAATTGGCCGAGCGCGTGAGGCTGATCATATGAAATGTCGTCGGACTATGATGGCATCAAACATTCGTTAGTTAGGGGGACTGAAAGTCCAAACCTTCCTCACCTACCCTCTCCCCCTTAGTAAAAAGAAGAGAGAACCAGAGTGACAGCTAGTAACCTTGTTTATTATCGAATTATAGAGGAAAAGAAAAACAAGTTCTTAACATCGCCGGAAAAACCTACTTAATTACTTTACTTATTTATTAATTTACACAATGTTAGTATAATGACATATGGTAGGGTGATTCCAACACATAAGTATCTTTATTTGATGCTCCTCTGTAAGAGGTGTATCCAACTGATTTTCCCACAAAAGAATAAACCCTTAGCGCAACTTTATCAAAGTCTTCTATCTGTATGACAAGGTAGTCTTGCATCCAAGACATTAAGGGATATTGAAAGGAGGTCCTTCAAACTGAAAGAAGATAGGGGCGCGTAGGAATTGATTTCAGCATAATTTTTGATCCGAGAAAAATGCGTGACTTCCATTCTGTCTGACACCGATCATAACTTGTACTTTAATCTCGTTACCAGATTCTACCGTGTAATTTAATTGAAATGTGGCAGTGGAAGGTCTGGGTGAAGGACTTCGTTTACTTATCATTATGGTTTCAACTCACCCAATCATATATCTTGACATACAAAACAAGAAATAAATAAAAAAAAGGCAGCGAAATTAAAATCTTACTCATCGAATCTTACTCAAGACGCGGAAAGCTAAAACTACTTTAAAAGACAGTGTTTGCAATAAGGTTACAAAAAGAACCACACGAAGAAGACCCCAATTGTATAACAGCTACTCATCACCGCGATTTTCAATGCTCCTGACTCCGCAGTGGGCCCTTCTCCTTTGTTGCAGAGATTCTCCTCACAACACATGTCACAGATTATGTCGCCGTTTGTTCCGTCTGGATCTGAACATTTGTTGGTGCAGTCTTCTGCCTTGGCGCATTTTCGCTTGAAAAAGGTTATCTTCTTGTCTTGTTTAACAACTTTATCAATACGACACGCATTCTCATTCACACTGCAGTTTTTTATTGTGTTCTGACCCAGCCTACTAGGTGATGATTTGCAGAGTTCGCCAGCATCGTTTTCAAAAACGCAACTGTAGCACTGAAGACATGATCCTGAAATTGAAAGGAGGAGAAACAGGATGTAGATGACAAAAAAGGATGGCACGAATCGGTATAAGTGTGTTATTTCTGCGGGGCAGACTTCTTGGCCTCTCACCGTGGGTCAAAAAAGTAGGAAAGTGATATTTGCACGCCTTTTTTCAGTCATAAATCACAGCGTAAAACTGATTGCACACCCCGTTTCAAAAAAGGGTGAAAAAAAAAAACAAAAAACAAAAAACAGTCCACATCTGAATGGATTCAGAAGAAACCTAAATACATACATACGTTCGCTTCCCATGCAGAGCGCGTGACTGTTTATCGACGGGAGCGAAAACCGGAAAATCAGGCTGATGTTGCTTATGTTCTGATGAATGATGTAATATTACCGAACGCGTTTCATCGCCTTATCAACATGAGCATTTAACTTTTTATTTGAATCGTAACAGTTTTAATCAGACCGAATGGATCCATAGATGATTTTATTTCCTAAAGACCATTGAAAAGCTACATCGAGGTTTTCTATCTCGCAAAAGTAAGGGTATATCATAAAACTCTTGTCAATCTTCGCCATTCTGTATGCCTCTTTCCCTCCTGTTTATCATTAAACATCTTTACCGGGTGTGAGTCTACTTCTATTATGCTAATTTTCTCTTATCAGCTCAGGCAACTCTCGCGATACTTTAAAATGATTCAAAATATGTCAATGAAGCACATTTGAAAATGGAACAAGTTTTTGCGTCGCGTGATCATCAAAAACCACGTGAAAGCAAAAAAAAACCCACCGGAAAAAGAAAAATTTGTTATCAGTTTCGTTTGTAGATACTGTTACCCATCAAAAGTAAGAGGACGATTTAACCCTCAAATATTTCTTTGAATAAATTATGTTTTCACAAAAGGGTTGTTACATAGTCCTTGCAAGGGAAGCACGATTATTTTCGCAAAAATCCTAAACAGGGAGCTATTCTGTCTCGAAACTGACCGGTTCAAAGGTTGCTTTTATCAGACATTAACCGCAACTGAAGAACCCGTGACGGGCTTTGCGCTTTGCGAAATAAAGGGAATAAAACCAAGAACCTCGTTTGGCTGCGGTGGGCTTGAAATCGAAGCTGACTGCACAATATTAAACAATTTCTCTGTCGCTCGAGGTCACTTCGGATATTGATATATATGAGTGGATAAAATAAATATTATGAAGCTTGTTCCTTACCTAATGTCACACCAAGCAAAACTAGTAGCAGTCCAATGATTGCCTTCAAAAGCATCTTTCCTCTGCGCTTCTGATTAAAACGATTTCAGATGGACGATAACAAGAAATCTTAACGAGACGTTGTATAACTCCTGTCTGGAGACTTTCTGTCAGCGCAGATTATATATACATAAACATATACATATATTGTGGGGGGTTTCCCTTTTTTCTAAGAAAGGATTTCCCTTTGTAATTCCCACTTCAGGGCCTAGCGAGAATTTCAGGATTTAAGAACCTGATAACTGAGTAACCTTCTAAAACTACCAACGGCCCAATACCCGCGGTTAATGCTCTATTTGTTGTTGCGAGGAAGCGTTTTCCAGGAAACTTATGCTATTTCGAGGCTAAACGATATGGCAAATAACGTCATGATCACAAACTATGAGATGAATTTCCGTGATATGAAAGCTCTGGCTGTCTATCTTGAGGGAAAAATGTTGGAAACGAATTTGTTCGATTTTAGAACATTACACTTCAGCTCAAAACTGACACTTTACGCTTATTCGCGCCCAGTAGTAATAGCCTGTGCTGTTCAACCTAAACAAATATCACATCATTGTAACGAACCTTTTTCCGATTATAATTTTTTTCTACTTTCTTTTCAGTCGCAAATGTCTACACAGCTGAGCAACGACCTGTGAAAATAAACTACATCCTGTAAAAAGAAAGAAAATCTAAATCCTCGGTACACTGATCATTCCTCGTGTTCATGATATCTCTAACTCGTTCGCTTTTCTCACCAACACCCAAAGATAAAATTCGTATCTTCGCGCGGCCATGCATATGCAATGTCCTCTAGATATATACAACGCCGAATAGTACCTAATGCTTATGTTACGACGATATCACGACGTTCATACAGCGTATTTTACAACGTGTTTATTCGCTTGGCCCTCTCCTGTCTACATCTACACTTTTCTCCACTCGCCTCGTGCTCGCTCGACCGGTCTAAACCGGTTTTCCCAGAAATCATTTGTGTCACGCTCTTTTTTTTTGTTGTATCTTTTTCGATCCTTCCCACCCCCCTCCCCCCCAAAAAGTTGCTTAGTATGGCAAAACTCGTCAACAGACACTGATAGGTGTGTTTTATTATTCTATAGTGCTGCTCTTGATTAACCAAGCATACAAATCATTCATGTTAACTGGATGTCTATGATCAAGAAGAGTAGGGTCCTTTTTGTGAGAGCAGATGGGATGTTTTGCTGATCTACCACTATTTTCTCCCACTATTCTGTTAACTCACACAATCACAAAAATTACATCTACTAATAATACAGAGCTAATTGAACCGACATACGCTTATAAATTGGTAAAATCCACATCATGAAGATAAACAAACACATGAGCAGACTAAATGTACTTTAAACGGCAGCGGTCACGACAAAGTTACCAAAGGAACCACGAAAGGGAGCCCGCGATAGTGTATAGGCCCCTGATCACTGCTATCCGCGATGCTCCTGACTTTTTGGCCGCCTCAGGTACCGGTCCTTCTCCTTTGTTGCAGAGGTCCTCTTCACAGCAGGAGTCGCATACAACATCTTTCATCTGTTCATCTGGATCTGTGCAACTGTTCGAACAATCTCCTTCTTTGGCGCATTCTCGCTTAAAAATCGTAACTTCGTTATTATCTTGAGTCATTTTTTTGATCATGCACCGATTCTGACCCTCACTGCAGTTGACAATAGTGTTCTCTCCCAGTTCAGATGATGATGGAAACTTGCAGAATTCTCCAGCGTCTGATTTGTCTTCGCGAACGCAACTGTAACACTGCAGACAAGATCCTAAAAATTAAACGTAGCGACACACGTAAATGAAGATAGAACAAAAAGATAAAGGCAATTTGGTAAGAATAAGGTGCTGGTAATGTATAGCAACAAAAGTTCTTAAACAGGCAGGTAAAGAGTCCGGAGCTACGAGAGAAGGAAGCGGAGAGTAAAGACGAAGGAGACTGGGGAAAAAATGGTGATATTGATGACAAAAGTAATAATCATGATAAAAATTATTATACTAATAATAAAAGTAAATAATGATAATGATTATAACCGTAACGATGATGATAATAATAATAATAATAATAATGATAATAATAATAACAATAATAATAATCTATTTAATGGAAACATATTAGAGTTCCACTCTTCCACCTCCCTTCTCATCTTTTAACCCTGAGAATACCGGACATGATCAGTTAGAATGTTTTACAGTCGAAATCTTTATTAGGTCATGCTGATACGTTCAATTATTTTCATTGATTACATCATCGAAAAAAGTAGACTTCAATCCTGCGATTCAGTCAGATGATGCAACTTAACCAGTATATGCACTCATCTGAAATTGCCACGAAAGTCCCATGTAATTCATCAAAAATCGAAAGTGAAATCATTTTTTTTTTAGATTGATTACTTCCTGACTTGCATTACGCGGCGTTTCGTCTCGGTCAAAAGACTCTGGATTTGATTTCACGTATAAATAGAAAGAAATGTGATGAAGGATTACGCAGAAAGTGAAAAATTCGTAAAATGGCTGAATGATTTTCCTATGTAAATACACTTGAAACTGTTGACGATCTTTTCCATCTCTGCTGACGTACTCCTAAGAAAACCTGTCATCAACTCGTAAACGAACTTTTCGCTTCACCTTAAGCCCGATTGTTCTGTCGAGGATAACATTTCCAAACGGATTATTTGGTTCTGATTGAGATTATACTGGATTATGTTATTTCACTAACCCTATCAGGGCAAACGCATAAAAATGAAGAAAAAAATAATCCCAAATTTTCATTCTCGCTCGGAAAGGTTTCATTTACTAAAATAAATGAAAGTAAGCGTGGGCTATATCTATCGAGGACGCTACCTTGATCACCAATATTGTTTATAATAAAGTTCGGATATAACGCGCGGTGTCATTGGTTGAAAGAGCGTGCTCTATGAGAGTATAGAGCATAGAGCTGAGCTAAACCTGTCACGCCATCTGCCAGACTGTACTATGTTCGACCTTTTCCGGGACTTCTTTTTAGCTTTTTTCCGATAATTGAAAGTGAAATTTCGGAACAAGCGAGCCGGCATGTAGCAACAGAAGAACCAAAGAAAGGTTTGTAAACATACCAGGCCCCGTAACTTACGTTATTAAAACGTGAGTAGATACGAAAATCCTCTAAGGAAAAACAAAATAGACATTCGAGGTTTTAAAGATTGATTCACGCTCAGTTAGATTGCAAGCTTACGTACGGAAATAAAAATCAAACACAGCTAACACTCATATAGTATATAAAGTTCAGTGTTCAAAAACAAAACAGAACAAAACAGAAATGATGAAAAATATAACCAAACTGGCATAACTTTTAAAATTCATTCTAATCATGACGGTGTCTGAGCGAATATGATCATGCTGAAGTCCATCGCGGCTCGCTCATCATGGCGATCTCCGGTCATCACAGCAAACCTCAGAAACTACATCGGCCGCCCTTCGAGTGAAAAAATTAGAGCTTGCTCTGATATCCTTTCCGTTGAGTGGAAAGTCACATCTGTCACTGCAGCCGAGTTTTGCGGCGCTGTCATCCCGAGCGATCTTCATATTCCGGTGAATTCGGCTGTCGTTCATTCAAAAAACACTCGCCCTGAACAGTTTGTTTTCTACCTTGTCATGTGAAAAAACTCGCGTGTTTTTATGAGCCATAATTCGGCTGAAGTTCACTGAACATTTCACTTCAAGATTCTGTATTAGAGACTTAAAAACTTCAAGCAAAAGTGTTAAATTCGACCTACCGAACTATTTTAGTTTATAAACTGTCGCAGAAGGTGAACTTTGATGGTTTTTTAACTTTGATGGTTTGACACTTTTGACAGCTTTAATCTTGTACAGCCAATCAGATTATTGGACCATTCTAACAGGGATTCTGATTGGCTTATTTTAGCGTGCTTTATGAGAGTATAGAGCATGCTGACGACACTGTTGTTCGCTTTGGAAATAAAGTTTGTTTTGAAAATTGAAAGTAATGCTCGGGGAATTTAATGGATTCTTTATTATAAAACAAATAGAGAAGCCTTGGCTGTGCTCTGTTCTGTTATAAAGCACTTAGGTAACGGCTAAAGCACTCAAGAAGTGGGAAGAAACACTCGACTACGTCTCGTGTTTCTCCCTACACTTCTTTCGTGCTCTAGCCGCTTCCTGCGTGCTTTATAACAGAACAGAGCACAGCCAAGGCTTCTCTATTTGTTAAATAAGAACACTTCTTGATTCAACGATTGTGTTGTTTAACTGGTAGTGTATCTTCCAGAGCTTTATGTTTAAAAAATTTTGTTCATAAAGAACGATCTTATAATTATCGCGTGACTGACACACAGTTGTTGATGTGGTATGAGTTAAAAATATTTTACATTACGCATCAATCACCGCGGGGAGTTCAGAAGAGGCGACCGGAAAAGAAGCATTTTTTCAGTTTGGTTTGTAGATATCATCCTTTTGAATAAATCAAGTCAAATTCTTCATCATGAAAGATTACAACGCATATTCGCATAGTTGATTCTCGTTTTTTCTGAAATCAACTTTGATGTCGTAACTTGATTGTCTACTTTCGTAAAGCGGATTAAGTGGCAGTAGATATTATTTTAAGGGTTGCTTGGCAGTATTATCTTGTGGGTCCAAATCCAGCTTTCCCTCATACTAACCCCTAAAGAATTTTGCGTTGGTAAACGATAGAAGAAAGATAACCTTTATTTTGGCTCCGGTTTGTTGTTGAACACGAAGGCAGTCACTATTCAAACAGAAAATATTTTCTGCGAGGTGCTACCATTAAGATATCTGAAAATTACATGAAAATCAAGATTCATTACACTCACCTATTGTTATACACGAAATTATTATAAGAAGTCCAACGAATTTCCTCGCTGCCATCTTACCGTAGTGCTTGTGAAAGGGGACTTCTAATGACGATGGAATCGCCGACTACAATACTGACTCACGGCCTCACCGCTGTCTTGTCAAAACATACGTGGGCCGGGTTTTCAGTTTTCTGCCACGTGATGAATTGATGACAGGAGGGTTTGAAAGAACAATCGAGAACTATGCTGACTGGAGAAAAAGGCCTCGACACAATTCCACTTCCTTGATAAAGTCTTTCTTTTTGTTGAAGTAATCTCATGAGATATAATCCTTTAAGTGTTCAGACAGTTAAACCTCAAAGTTTTCACAGTGGCAGTATATTCAGTGGAAGAAATTTCGAATACCGATCGCGTCAAGGTAACGACTCCTATCACCTGTCTGTGATGTTTATCTTCGCTATTTTCTCTGTTATTGTCTTTGAGCCCTTTATCAGAGTTCGTTGCGGGGAGGGCCTGGATTGAGAAAACAATCATCGGAACTTAGGTATATTGCTTCGAAAAAATTTTAAAAAATATATAACCTTTTTTTAAAAACTAGTTAGCGTCAATCAGTCAACTGTTTGGAAAAAATTACAGTGTAACGCAAATTGCGCAGCAAAATACGTGTTTTGAAGGAGTGCATCTGCATCGAACAAGCAAACAAATATTTTTCTCCCCTTTTGGGCAGTTAAGAACTAGTTCGGGGGGCGGGGATCCTGCTGACGTCATTCTCTGAAAGAAAAATAGTTATTCCTTGCCTTTTCCTTTTTTAGGTAAATTTAAGAAATAGCACTGAGGGGCGATCCTTATGACGTCATGCTCACGTGCAGAGGAGTTTACATAGTTGCTTCATGATTGTAACAGTACCTTCATCTCGTTAAACAGTTCGTCTGATAGACATTTGAAACTTCAGAAAATATGGTATGATCACGACATGTATTCGAAAGTGACGAAAACGATCGAATTGTACAAAACAGCAGCATATCGATTCTGGCAGGGTTATTTTCAAAGATTTGTTGATTTGAGAGTGTATAGTTATATATTTAGCTATATTCAGTCTTCATTGATTGAAAAATTAAGAAAGCTTGCGACGACAAAGAGGAAAACGAATATGCGTTACAGGTGCGAAAATATTAGAAGCATCAAAAATTTACTTTGTTTGATATGTGGTGCATCATCTTTGAGTAAATGAGTATTCACACGTGAGCATAACCCACTAATTTGAGGATAATTAACTTAACCAAACAAGATAATTGAAAGACATTTAATTTCATCACCTCTAAAATATTATCAAAATAAAAACCAGAGTAACTGCAAACAAACAAACAAAAAATTTAATCTCGTCTCCCAATGAATCAACCTGAACCTTGACACAAAAATCATCGCAATGATCGTACTTTGGAAACAATTACCATTCGGTAGAAGAAGAAAATACTTGACATCTCCATCACTGCTGCATAAGATACTCAACTACTCAGTTTGTTTAACCTCAAAATGTGTGTCAATCAGTTTTAATTCTGTTGTTGCCAAGAGTTTCTCCACTTTGAGCACCGAGTCACTCCATCTTAATTCTCTGACTGGTCATGCGATAAATAATACTATCACGTCCCGGATCCATGTACCACATCACTAGGCATATTACATATAAGGAGATGACTAGAACTACAAGCAGCCACAACGAGATGTTGAATATTATGGGATAGTCCTCGGAGTATTCGGTGGCCAAGTTCACTTTGCCCAAATCAGTGTCGGAACCAGCCTATTAGACGATAACAATAACTAGTGAGTAACATATCGATAAATAGACTATTTTTTAAGTGGTAGATGCCAGTGAATAAGTCAACTTTTAAACTTCATCTAAGTTTTCCTTTGGAGTTAAAGACATCATTTGTCATTTGCAAACTAAGGTTTGATCAATCCCACGCCGAAGAAATCTATTTGTTTAACCTGAAATACATTTGTACCTGGTATTGTGGATCACTGTCCACTGCACGCCGGATTCTGGGCTTTCTATTACAATATACCTGAAAAAAACATGGGTGACGAAGTTTAATGGACAGTTTCAGCACCGTCAAACGCCGTTGTAAAAAAATTTCAAGAAAATAACTTGAAAGAAACAGAAAAAGACGGATTAGGGAGTACATAGGAACAATTGGAAACGATACAAGAAACCATGGAGTGCCCTGCGCATGCGCTGTATAAATTCAATCCAAAGAAGACAGTCGTTAATTTTGAAAACGCGTTGAAACATTTTTCATCATATACTATGGAATAGTAAGTTTGTGAATTTATCAATCTCGTTTCTCCACACTGATAATTCTCTGATAAGTATATGCGCGATCTGCCAGGTTGTTGTTGTTGGGACGAGAAGGAAATTGATAACTAAAAAACACAATACTCAACCAAACACATACCTTGAGAGCAGACTGTACGGAAAGAAGTTTATTATGCAATGACTCACACAACGACTGCTTCGCTTGTTCCTCCTGTTCAATAATAAATCCAGATAACAACTTTATTGAAAATCTGGTCAGTTTAACAGTAATAGTAACACAATTGTATTCTGGTAGAAAAAGAGCAGAAGGGGAAGGCATGTGGAAAATAAGGCATTGGTGACCTGAGGGGGCATGACAAGGGAGGGATAGGAAGGGAGAGGAGACAAGAGAGGGGATGGTCTGTAGGAGGAGGAAGGACATGAGGCAGTGAAAGGGAGGAGGGAAATGGGAGGGGTGTAAGGTATGGAGGGACGGGAACGGAGAATATGAGGAGAGGGGTAGGAAGGAGAACGATAGGGGAAGGTCTGTAGGAGGGGTGTAGGGTGTGAAAGAAGGAGAATGGAGAATAAGAGGAGAGTAGGGGAAACGAAAAAGAGTGAAGGAAGATAGGGGAGGTTTGTAGGAGGAGGAGGACATGAAGTAGTGAAAGGGAGGAGGGGAATGGGAGGGGCGTGGGGTGCGAAGGGAGGGGAACGGAGAATATGGGGAGAGGGGTGGGAAGGAGAAGGATGGAGGGGGAAAGGAAAAAGAGTAAAGGAAGATAGGGGAAGGTCTGTAGGAGGAGGAAGGACATGAGGCAGTGAAAGGGAGGAGGGAAATGGGAGGGGTGTAAGGTATGGAGGGACGGGAACGGAGAATATGAGGAGAGGGGTAGGAAGGAGAACGATGGAGGGGGAAAGGTAAAAGAGTAAAGGAAGATAGGGGAAGGTCTGTAGGATTAGGAAGGACATGGGGTAGTGAAAGGAGGGAGGGGAATGGGAGGGGTGTAGGGTGTGAAGAGATGCGAACGGACACTATGAGGAGAGGGGTGGAAAGGAGAATGATGGAGGAGGAAAGGGAAAAGAGTGAAGGAAGATAGGGGAAGATCTGTAGGAGGAGGAAGACATGGAGTAGTGAAAGGGAGGAGGGGAATGGGAGGGGCGTGGGGTGCGAGGGGAGGGGAACGGAGAATATGAGGAGAGGGGTGGGAAGGAGAAGGATGGAGGGGGAAAGGAAAAAACGTGGAGGAAGATAAGGGAAGGTCTGTAGGAGGAGTAAAGGAAGGAGGAAGTGAATGAGACCAATGAAGGAGAGAAGTACCAGGTCTAGGGTTCAAAGAATAAGAGGAGAAGATGGGGAGGGGTAGGAATGGAGAGAGGAGAGGAATGAAGACGAGGGTTGAGTAGGGAGGAGAAAAAGAGTTGGGATTAGGTAGGGTGAGGGAGCGGTGAACAGTGATGTGACGCAAAAAAACGCGATGAGAGGGAAATGAATGAAAAGGAAGGAAGGGTGAGGGAGTCAGAAAATTAAATCAAGCAAAGACTCTCAATTTTCGCGCCATTCTTGAATGTTGCTGTTACCAAGCAATAAAACCTTAAAAATTCACTCGCATAAAAACAAAGTATACAAACATAACTGATTCCACTCAAACAACAGCAAATACTCACCAGATCATGCCTGAGCGTAACAGAGGGAAGCTGGTCATGGAAAAGGTCCCTTGACTGTGATAACAGGTGAGGTTCAACTTCTTGATAGACGGCGTGCACCTCTCGTGGGTATCTGGTGTGAAGATCACTGTTGGGAGTGGGAGGGGGAAATTAAAAGACAGGTTAGTAACAGCACTTCCCACGATTAATCATTTGCTTCCACAGTGTACAGAAATTTATTTAAATATAACAAAGAAAATGCTATCAACTTACCCAAGCCACTGCAACGACAAAACTTCCACCAGAACGTTTCCGTTGTATAAATCAGAGAACTTCTTCACAATCTGTAACGATAGAATAGTGGAATGAAATGGTTTAAAATTGTACGGTTAGGGTGCGGTTAAGGTGCGGTTAAGGTGCGGTTAAGGTGCGGTTAAGGTGCTTGGTGAAACAAGGCAACCATTTGATGATCTCTACCTGGGGAATCATGTCCTTCAAAAATTGAATAGCTCCTTCTGCCTGTAAGGATTGGTCACCATAGCGACGGCGAAGTCCCTGTAAACGAGGCATGAGTAGAAACCATTTAGTGCATATAAGGAGGAAAACATTGCGAGTAAATGAAAAGCTCAAATTTGGAACACAACAACAATATTTAACTCATTCGAATCCAGAAAGTTATAGGTTGCATTTAACTGCAAAGTAATATGCAAAATTGTGAATCACAAAACAATAGAAGTCAAAAATAGAGCCATGTGTATAAAACAAACACATTGAAATAAAAAGGAAAAAAAGGGCACAAAAAATATCAGTCAAACAAACGAACAGATTAAAAAACTAAAATTACACTGTAACCCTCTAGTTTCGTGTGAGAGAGCTTAAGCAAAACCTTACCTTAACAGAAGAGAGACCCAAAGTGAACACATCTGGAACGCCATCTTGCACAAGGCTAGGATCAGAGCTCAGCTGCAAAACAAAACAAGGAATTATAAAGATGTTCTGAAATTGTGAGTTTCTTGAAAATACAAAAATCTTCTTTTATAATCGCGTGCTAATTGTTGTTGTTTTTTTTATTCATATAAATTGGGAATTCTTGTTTTGCCTTCAACATTACATGAATGCGATTTTCACCTCAAAAACGAGGCCAAGTAAGCCTATTAGCATGTACGCAGAGGTAAAACAGTTTGCCCGCCATCGCAAAAGGGATCTCTTCTGAGGATAAATCTCTCACCTTCTCTATTATTTGAAGGATGGCATCGACCTCAGCGAAGAGTAGAAAATCTTCCTGAAGAGAAAATTACGCGAAAATTCAGTGGCACTCTTTGACACGGAAGTGAGTTCATACAACTGGAGATGACAAATGCATGTTTGTTTGCTTTTTTGTGAATATGTTTAGATCATATTATAT